AAAAGAGCAGAAAGTAGAAGACAGAATGGAAATGAAACTCACTTGTTCTAACGTTAGTGTGTGGACTGGTGCATCTATGCCAGTTTCACTAACGAGGAAATCGTGATATATCACAGGCACATGATCCTTCGTCAGTTGCACATCTAACAACCGTTAGCCCATAATGATTAACACAGCGAATGGGCCGAATGGAGGGGAAAGGTATATATATACCGAACTGCATCACCACGAAAATTGTTAGTTAGCCACCTTTCAAAGTAATAATAATGCACTCTTCGCCAATGAGACAATTATTAAACTCACCTCAACATAAGATGCTCCCAGGTTCGCGGCCGCGATAAAGGACTGTGAATGTTAGATACACTTGTCAAAGAACGAGGGAAGAAAAAACCCTCCAAACCCGACACACCTGAATCGTATTCTCGCCCAACTGTAAAGACTTGCGACCTGCTATGTTCTTTCCAAGGCCTTTTGTTCAAGTTAGGAATGAACCATCGCATATATGATGACGTAAGACAGAGGTAGAGGAGAGGATGGAGAAAACAGAGGAAAGAAGGTCGGAGATCGAATCACCTCGATGCCCAATAACCATTGTCGAAGCCATGCTCTTCCAATACGTCTGGTCTTCCGTAATAGACATATTTGGATGTTTGAACGGCGTAATAATGAGGAAATTGAATGTGACAGTACCAATGATATCGAGCGTATTCGCTGCGATTATCGGCACGGTCACGTCTCCTTGGAGGTTTATCCGCTTCGAGCCGACGGTGGGTTTAATGCTGGACAGCAATGCGACGCCGCGGCCGACGATTTTCTCCTTGGAGCCAGCGTAAGTGGGTATTAAGTCGAAGATAATTTTCACCTTGGAGGCGTCTGCCGCGTGGAAGACGATGGGCTCCGTGGCAATGCTGTCCTGGATGGGTAGGTCGATGATCTCGGGTTCACCACGCGCCTCACTGGCAGAAACGACGATGGACAATGCGGTGTCCAGCTGCGTCAGATACGCGCTGGCCATGGGAATACGATCGAGGTTAACAGCGTGTACTGATTTCCGCATGTCCATTGTTCCAAGGCTGACCAGAACCATGCTGGCGTCGGTTAGATAGCGATGGCCAAAAGTCTTGATCGGCTCTGCCGCTCGGCCTGTGGATTTTCGATCTGCTAGCGAGGCTGGCGTGGGAGGAGACAAAGAACGGGCTCGCGGAGTAGAGCTGTCAGAATCGCTCGAGATCTCCACTGGTGGAGTAGCCTGTGCCAGCAGTCGAGCGATATCCATATGACCCCTAAGAGCAGCATGTTCTTTGGCGGTCCAGCCGGAGGAGTCAGGACGCTCCAGATCAGCGCCTGCATTGATCAATAACTCCACCACACCCAAACTCCCGTCGACGCAGGCGATGAACAATGGCGTCCAAGAATATGTATTCTCCGCGAGCTCAGTATTGGCTTTTTGATCGTGCGACCCGTCCAGAAGGGCCTTGGCGCACCTATCATGGCCAAACCGTGCCGCAACATGGAGAGCAGTCTCTCCCTGCTCGTCCTGATAATTGATATCTACACCAGCATCGACCAGGAGCTGGACAATATCAACGAAATTGGATTTAGTAGCAAGCGCAAGCACGGCACTCGACTTGCATATATGTTTCCGGATTGCAGCCTGGTGCTCGTTTGCTCCCCTCCAGTTCTCCGCATTTAGCAATGCTCGAGTGGTCAGGAGATGGCCCCCAATGACACTTAGGTGCAAAGGTGCCCAACCCTCGTCATCCTGCCAGTTTGGGCCATCAATACCCTGGGAGACGTCGAACATATTCCATGCCTGCAAATGTTCAATGATAATCTCGCATACGACACGGAATCCATACTGAGCAGCATAATGGAGTGGGGTTCGACCGGAAATGTCTTTGGCAAGTAATGCACCTCGTTGTTCCGGACGGAGGTTGTCCAGGAGGTGCTGCAACAGTGAGACGGAATCGTCCGTCCTGCATAACAAGGGGGTCCGGTCGGACTCCTTTACGACAACGCGACTGTGCTGGAGGGTCGGTGCAGCAGCCGGCGTGATGTAATTTGAAGCTTCAGTTGGAAAATCGAGCACTTGAGCAGCAGAGAGCTCCGAGTCGCTCGTCGACTGCGAGCGCCCAATGGAAATGACAAGACGGTGGATGCAATTTCGTCTATTGATGTCGTCATCTTCATCCAAGGTGTCGATCTTCCCTAGCAGAGACACGACCGAATTCCTTGCACGGTAGAAAATGGAACGTTGTAATAGGGCCTTCACGGCCTTGGAATAGAGACTTGAGTCTAACTCCTCCGCCGCAATCTTCAACGTGGGTAGCAACTCCAACATAATGTGGGTATCGTCTTTGCGCAATGCATCGTCAAGAGCTAGAAGTAGGCTTGGTGGGAGCTTGAGAATTGGTCGGGAGCTAGGTTTCATCACTGATAGGGAGGAATGTGTGGAGCTCGCATCATCGAAGCCCTTTTCATCTCCCAAAACAGATAACCAATCATTGATAGTTTTTAGGGATTCCAGCAAGCCAGCATTCGTAGCAAATGGGGCAGGGTCGACTTTGGTTGGCAGATATCGCATCTGCGCTTGCGCACCGGGAAGTTTCTTGTCAAGCTTCTTTGTGATTTTGATGAAACCGCGCCGATTGACCTCGCCATACCATTGTAACTTTCGAAGCTGGCCACGCAGTTCTAGAAGCGCCGCGAGGAGATCCTCAGTGTCTTCAGAATCAAGGCTCTGCGAGGCAATAACTGAATGTCCATAGCGGTCTTCCAACAGCTTCAGGCGGCGGGAGAAGTCTGCGAACTTTTTGTTGTAGAACTGATCGACATCTTCCAGGTTACGGTCGAGGGAGTAGAAAAATCCTGTAGAATAAAACCGAAAAAACAAAACAAAGATCTTAGTACCTTGAAGGGGTCTCACACAAGTGTGTATTTTAGCAAGATGAACCCACCAGCCAAGTCTGGATCATGGCCCTCCCTCTGCGCATTGATTTCCGATTTGATCAGCTTTTTCAAGCTCTTATACTTGATATATGACGAACCCCACTCGGGCACAACATTCCTTGCAAGATTCCGGCCGAATTTCATGATGTATATGGTATGGTATGGTCTATTCTTTCCTTTCTTTCGTGATGTATCCCGTTGATCTCCTATAAATCGAAAACTGGATGCGGACCCCCAACCTCCCGTGTTAATGATGCATGCAGGAGATGTCCGATCTATTTGTGTTATTGAAGTGTGTCAAAAATCTTCCGGGGGAAATGAGAAACGGATATTGATATATCGAAGGAATTAAAGAGGCTATCCGGAGAGGGAATAAAAAGAATTGAGACAGTAAAAAAATGAACGGAGGAAGAAGATTCAGCAAGGGAAACCTCCCAGAAGGTCACAAACAGGGAAAGGGGAAATAGCAAGAGAAACGGAAGAAAAGGTGGGCCATAGGAGTCGTGGATGCCATCCTGGAGATGTCTTCTATTTAAACATATTTTCGAGTACTGTTTCTCCCTGGATATCTGTTTATGGAGGCGTTGGTGCAGCTTTTTAATCCAGCTTCTCTCGTCCTTTCCGTATCGAGGGTTTCGAGTAAATGAGGGGAGGTTTATTGATCTGCTATATCCTCTGTACAATAAATCAATGTTACCGTCACCAATTAGCTTAATTGACTCTTTAGACAACATTGATTGGACAAAATGAAGCAAACAAGGCTTGCAGCAAGGAAAAAGAAGCTGTTCCAAAAAAGAGGCCGTTCCAAAAAAGAAGTTGCACGAGTACCCTGAGCCTGTCCCTTGTACCTGTCCCTGTCCCTGTACCTGTACATACATACCTAGGTCTACTGCATTCTTTTCCCCTATCCTCTTCGCCAGCTAACAGAAGGATAAATCAGCAAGTGAGTGGTTGGTCACAGGACGGACTCCGATCACCGCGAAGAGAAGTAACTAGCAGCCAACGGAGCGAGCTGAAAGGGATGATGAGAGCGTCCCGGAGATTGGGCAGACTGGACTGACTGACTCGAACAGCTAGCTGGCCCTAGTTCAGTTCCGGCCACAGAGCTTTTCTTCTCTGTTTTTCTGCCCTGGAGTCGGTGAGGGATCGACCCTGCGCGCTGTGAATGGTGGAGAGCTGGGGCGGGAAGAAATTGGGGGCCCTCCCGTGGGGCGGCGGAACTAGTTATATACTAAATTATAATAAGCTAACTACCGACTGCAGCTAGGAAAAGATCAGGTGGGTGTGTGTTCGCTGTGGCGTTTCGAAGCGCAAACAAGCAAGCAGCTGAGAAGAGAAGGGAAGGCAACGCAGGATGAAATAAGGAAGAAAGAAAGAAAGAAAGATAGAAAGACAGGAAGACAGGAAGGAGGTTGTTAAGGGATTAACTATTGGAAGAAACAAAGAAACAGTACATACGGACAGTACATACAGTACATACAGTACATACAGTACAGCGTATGCAGCGTATGTACTGTAGTTATTGGACCGGGATGACTCAGCGGGCCAGCGCGTGAGGAGAATGTTGGCTCTGATTGGCCAGTGGCTGGTGGAAGGCGTGTGTTGATATTGGCATCGATCTATTGACGCCAGTATTGTATTTGGGGACGGGACGGGATGGGATGGGATGGGATCATGGATGGTTTGGTGGAACAGTTGGTTGTCGGGACAGGGCGAGACATGGCGAGGATGGTTATTATTTCTCGATCAAGACATGGAACAGTTGCAGGTCTAGTTACGGATTACAGCATTATTTCTAAAGACATAGTCTACACGTGCAACGGTATAAAGGAACCTAGTCCATCCTATCATAGAAGAAGAGGAGCATCTGTATCTATCTCTCAATTCATCCGCATGCACCGGGTACCGGCAGGCATATATGTATATATATATATATATATATATATATATATATATATATAAACATGATGAGAAATACTACATACATATGCACAGCACATGCAAACAAAGAGCAAGCAAACTTCCAACATCTTGCAAGACCTTTACGGAACAGGTTGTAACTTAAGCAATATCATCCTGGAATGCCCAGATATGCTGTGCTGCGTGGTCTCGGTGCACAGATTTAAGCCAGTCCTAAGCCACTGTCCCACCTTCCCCGGCTTCTGCCAAGGCAAGGACAGAATGTACGCATTATGCATTATTATTATTCCCAGTCATCGGGCAACTAGGATATGTGAAATGTTTCCAACCAAGAAGAAAGGAGGAGGAGGAGGAGGAGGGGGGGGGGCGGAGGAAGAAGCTCATCTAACTTCAATTTCGAGAATATATGAATGTAAGAACGAGGTGAATTGTTGCAGCGCCATGTATATATATATTCTCAATTTCTACAAACTCCTGACTGCCGCGTTAGGTTGTTGACATTGAGCAACGACCAAAAAATAACAAGGAACAAGACCGTGCATGATGAAGGAAGAAGAGTTTTTGAACTTTGAAGCAGTCAACCAAGTGGAGCTCCGTGGTGTAAAAATGCCATCGTTAAAAAGGGGAAAAAAGAATTAAGTGGAGTAATCCATCCCATAACATATTAAGAGGGGAAATTAAAACGGGAACAAAACCAATTTGAGAAAAACTCAGAGAAGAGAGAAACACAAAATAAAAAGATAGAAAATGAAAACGAGAAAATGAGAAAATCCCAGAAATGAACAGCAGAAATCCATGCCCTACCTATCTAAACCCCTTAACTAAAGAGAAACAATAATAAATATGAAAGAACTAGCAGTACAACAAAATATTCTGGTATAAGAAAATGGGGGATAGAATGAACAGACCCATGAAGAATAAAACAGCAAATAATAAACGAGGGGGAAAACAGATGAACAGATCCCATACAAACCGGGGGGAAAAAAAAGAGAAAGAAAGAAAGAAAAAAAGAAAACAAGAAATATAGGAAATCAGATCAGATCAAACAAACAAATAAAAATACACCGCAATTGAATCAATCAAACATAGACAACAGCCATACGCAAAATTAAGGAAAGAGGAGGGAAGACCGACAAAACAAATTAGAGCATCAACTATCTCAACCTTCAACCAAAACCCTTAGTCCCTCCACTCCACACCTCAACACCTCCTCCCCCATCCCTTCCCCTCCAGCAGCAGTTCCCTTCCCACCTCCACCACCGATACCCCCAACCAAACAACCCCTCAACACATCCACAGCGCCTTTCTCCTTCAACACCCTCCGCGCCTTTCTCCCCGCTTCCTCTTCACAGCATCCCATATTCCTCACACAGACAAGCCCTCGATGAACCATCTCCACCCCCCCATCCCCATCACCCTCTTTACACATCCCCAACACAACCTCCACGCCCCCCTCCCTCGCCAACACTGCTTCTACAACGCCCTCAAACTCCGTTAGCACCGCCAACGCACCTCCCGCCGCCCTCCGCGTGGGCAGATCCCGCGCATCAGCTAGGGCCAGGAGGATATGCAGCCGCTGGGCGGCGCGCGGGGTTCCATCGGCGAATTTGGCGATGGCGTCGGGGCAGGTTGTCAGGTTGCAGGTGAGTTCTGTGGCGGCGCGTTGGAGGTGGGTGTTTGAGGAGAGGAGGAGGTCTTCGACTGTGGGGAAGGCGAGGCGGGTTATTAGGGATGCGGCAGAAGGGGGCGAGGAGGATGAGGATGAGGAGGATGAGGAAGGGGGGGCCGAGGCGAGGTTTGTGAGCGCGAGGAGGGATTCGAAGGTGGGGAGGAGGTCGCGTGGGGCTTCGGTGGAGAGGGTGGGGGAGGAGGAGGATGATGGTGAGGAGGAGGAGGAGGATGGTTGGAGGAGGTGAACAAGGGGTCTGATTGCTGTGGTGACTTGGGGGAAGCCCGAGGTGGAGAAGACGTGGGCTGGGTTAACGGAGATGAGGATGCGGGCGAGAGCGTGGGCGGCATTTTGGGTTGGTTCGTCGTTTGCTCGGTAGTTGGTGCTGTTCTCTGTGCGGGAGGAGATGAGGGATAGGAGTAGTTTGATGGCACCTTGTTGGGCGAGTTTTCCACGGGTTTGTGGGGCTTTGGAGAGGGAGAGTAGGATCTTGCTGGTCAGATCTTGGATGGAGTTGGAGGCTGTGTTGGCTTTGTTGCAGTCGATGAGTAGAGGCATGATACCAGCATTGATGACCGTTGTACAGCGCTCCTTCACATGGCTGTCGTCGTCCAGGGGATTAGACGCTGCAGGTTGGGAAGATGCGTTCGCGTACGATCTAAGCTGGGAGATTTTCTTCTGTTCTTCAGATAAATTAGGACGGTATTTTGTGAGATTATGGATGATCATGAGTCCGCCGTAAACGAGAGATGCGTCGGTAACATTGTTTTTGAGTATAGCTTCTAGGTCTGACTGGAAAGTCGACCCTTTGGAAACCAGCTGTTCCTTGACCTCTGGCTTGACGGAGGAAAATGCCAAGCCCTCAACCAAATGATGGAAGTCTCCTTTCTGCGGACGCTTAGCTAGGAGGATTTTAAATCTTTCAACTAGATCATGGGAACTACCTGACGATTCCTCCGCCCGGATCCTCGACGCAGCAGTCGAGGGTTTCGGATTGGCATCATTTTCAGAGGCCCTGATTTTGGCCAAGATAACAGCAGCGAGCTCTGCGCGTTCGTCGGCTCCATTGCTGAGCGTATGGGAGAGCCAGTCTGCGCAATGCTTATCAATGGCTTCGCGGCACTGCTTGTCGATGCAGGAGGCGTTAAACAGTTCCAGTACAGCGCGTTCCACGGTGATACCTTTACGCTTCTGTTCGAGCAAGGCAAGAAGAGATTGGACAAATCCCTTAGTCAAGAAGAGAGCTGCAGTGATGGAGGGGATAATAGGAAAGACAGCAGCGGCGGCAGAGAAAGCAAAGATATAGTCGTCATTCCGCTGTCTCGCAACACGAGCCGTAAGGATTTTGGAGAAAAGTGTCTGCCCGTTCTCCCCCGCAGCTTCAAGGTATTTGGCGGTTGCCAATGTGGCCTGGCTGCGGACGTCACTGGGCAACCTCAGGTCCAGGGAAGACAAAATGGCATCAAAGCACTCCTCGTCAACCAAGTGCTGCAGATTCTCCGCATCGACTGCAAGAAGTCGGGCAATCCCCTTAAGGGAGCGGCCGTCTAGGTCATGTCCGGATTCCATGAGCTTGGCAATAAAGAGCTGGAACAGCTCACTTTTGCAGTGGTTGCGGACTTGTTCGGACTGCCAGAGCGCCGTATCCAGCACCACAGTATCCAAACATACGACAGCACCATCTCCCCGGTCGTAGATCTCGTCGAAGAATTGGGTAACGGAGAGTTGGAGCTGGGCGGCAAAGTGGCGGCGAATATGGGGGCTGTTCCGCACCAGGGCGGTAATTATCTCGTCCTGGATATTCGAGAGGCTCGTGGCGGGGCAGGAGAGGATGAGGTTAAGGGTATCGAGGGCAGCTTCAGGGGGAGGCTGCAGGCCATCAACGCGGAGGCGTACGGCGGCGTCGCGACCGGCGCTTTCGTCTTTGTGGGTGACATACCGGCGGCAGAGGTTTACGAGTACGTGGTTTGTCTCTTCGTCCTCCGATATTTTCTTGAAGGCAGCTTTGACTTCGTCGTTATCTGGAGCCAGGGAGATCGCCTCGCGGAGGTTTCTTGAAGCGGCCTGAAAAAAAGGAAAGAGTCAGACCACGGTTCTCCAGTACAAGATTGCGGCGCAAAGAGAATGAAAAGAGGGACTACCTCTCGATGGCCTGCATCAACTAATTCGACGGCTTCTCTAGCCAGCTGGACGGCGCGGTCATCGGAGGCGGACTGCACCATGGAGGCGGCGATCTGTTGAAGAGGCCGCTCGTTTCGTTTCTGGATGAGGAGACGTTGGTTCTCGAATCGGCTGGATCGGCTGAAGCGCGATTGACGGCGATATCGCCTCAAGAGGGCTCTAACTTGTTAGAAGGAATAACCGCTGGGCGTAAGACGTGGGAAAGAGAGCCAGGCAGCTCGACGGGAGAAGGGTTTTGGGGGTTGGGGGTTGGGAGAAGTTTTGGTAGAAGTTTTGGCAGATTGACTCAGGGCGAGGTTGTTGTTGGCGGAGTTGGCGGAGGCTCGATCGGAGTCCGGCAAAGAAGAAGAAGAGCGCAGTTTTGGAGGGAGGAAGAACAGAAAGGAGACACCAGCAACAACGATGCAACAACCAAAGCAAAGACAGAGGAGAGGAAATAGATAAATAAATAAGGAGTCGGAGAAAATAAATAAAAAATAAAAAAAATAAAAATAAGCGTGTTGGGGGGTTGGTTCTTAGGGTTTGGGCAGTTGAGTTGGGCGGCGAAAGAGTTCTAAATGTAGAATTAATTATACTTTTTCCCTTATCTATTCTGTTAAACAAGTGCGGAAAAGAAAAAAGAAAAAAGAAAAAGAGATGTATGTGTGTTTTCTTTGTCTGTCCGGGGAAGGATGAGAGAGAGAGAGAGATATATATATATATATATATATACTCCGTATATATATGTGAAATAAGGATGATGAGTATATGTATGTGCGGAGTACTTATATGTTGAGTAACAAGCAATAAGTAATAATAATAACAGTCTCACAAGAGAGAAAAAAGAAGAATAATATAATAAAAAATAATTTACAAGCCCTGCAGGAAGCGGAATTAAAAATAATAATAATACATAAGATAACTATGAGTGAGTTACTACTGGAGAGGTCAAGCTCTCCTCTCCCTCTCCCTCTCCCTCTCCCTCTCCCTCTCCCGAGTCCGCAGTCCCGCCGTCCCCAGTCCGTCCCCAGGATTAGCGTCAATTGCAGTGGGGATAATTGCTTTTTCTGAGATAGCAGCCCGGGTAGCACCAGCTTGCTTATGCGAATGAAACGAGTCATCGACATCATGATTGATAAGACGCGGCGGAGGAATGAATCTCCATCCAACCGGATTCTTCTGCTTCTGCACGCACGCCGGAGCCAAGAGCTATAACTATAGAAAAAAATAACGTCAATATAATATCTATCTATAGTGTGTGCGATCGAGGTAAGTCGCTAATAATAGCTTGAGATATTGGCTCGTACTGCCAATGCTTGCCTTCAGTGTGCGACTGCTGGGCGAAGGATGCAAGCGTTGAGCGGAAAATGAGCTGAGGATGAAGATGAATGAAGACGGAGATGAAGATGAAGATGAAAGATGAAAGATGAAAGATGAAAGATGGAGTTGAAATTTGAGCTTGAAGACGCCGTTTCGGTATGGACATAGCTACAGTAAATAACTACAGTACGTACAGTGCAACTGATATAGACACACTCAACAGCACAACAACACAGCTTCAAATATCCCAAACCATACATACATACTCCGTCCTATCCAGTAACTACTAGAGACAGACAGCATTGCATTGCATCTCTGTCGCGTCCTCACCATGCGACCATAGCTAGTTTTATAACTAGTCATTTTGCCTCTCTCCTCCACCCACCCCCATCCATCATCCATCCATCCATCCACCATCACCACCATCACCATGAACGCTGTCGACGGCGCAACCCATTATGACCCCTCCTCCAATAACGGTATACAACAGCTCTCTTCTCTTGTTGTTCACCCAGCCTTAGATTAGATATCTTCAGAGTAGCTAGCTAACTAACTAAACTAAAATTCATCCCTTCAGTCCCCGCCCCCTCCCTCCTCACCGTCATCCTCGATACAAATCCCCACGCCTGGGCCCGCCTTGAACCCTCCCTCCCGTTCTCCGCCGCCATCGCAAACCTTCTCGTCTTCATCAACGCCCATCTGGCCTGTAACTACGCAAACAAGGTTGCCGTCGTCGCCTCCCACTGCCATCATGCTACCTGGCTCTACCCTACCCCTTCCACCCCCCCGTCCTCGTCGTCAGACCAGCAGACCACACCGCCAGATCGGGACGTCATCATGAACGGCCAACCCTCCCCCGAAGAATATCATCAGCAAGGAAAAGGAAAAGAAGAAGAAAGAGATGATGATGATGATGATGAACCTATAAACAAATACCGCCCCTTCCGCCTCGTCGAAGAACAACTAACCCGCAACCTCCACGCCCTCCTCTCCACCACCACCTCTGCCGACATCTCCTCCACAACCTCCACCATGATCGCTGGCGCCCTCACTCTCGCCCTCAGCCACATAAACCGCGAAACAATCGCCCACGCCGAAACCCACGGCACCGCAAAACCAGACGGCACCTCCGCCTCCACCTCCACCTCCACAGGCACCACAGCATCCGGCCTCCCACCCCCGCCAGGCACCACCCCCGCCACCTCCTCCCCAACCCCTCCTCACCTTTCCAACCCCACAGCCCTCCAATCCCGCATCCTCATAATCTCCCTAAGCAGCACCACCCACGCCGCCCAACACTACATCCCCATCATGAACAGCATCTTCGCCTGCCAGCGCCTGCACATCCCAATCGACATCCTCAAGCTAGCCGGCGACGCCGCATTCCTCCAGCAAGCCTCCGACGCCACCCGCGGCATCTACATCCCCGTCACCTCCCACCCCGCCGGCTTCCTGCAGTATCTGATGCTAGGCTTCCTCCCGGACCAGCGCGCGCGCGCGCACCTGGTCCTGCCCAGCCGCGTCGACGTCGATTTCCGCGCGGCGTGCTTCTGTCACCGCCGCGTTGTCGACGTCGGGTTTGTGTGTAGTATTTGTCTGAGTATCTTTTGCGAGCCGCTTGGTGGGGTTGATGGGGTTGCGGAGTGTTTGACGTGCGGGTCACAGTTGGGGGTTGGGGAGTATGCCGTTAAGCCTGTTGTGGTTGCGGGGAGGAAGAGGAAGAGGAAGAAGGAGAAAGGGGTTGGTGGGAAGGGGGGTGTATCGCCTGGGTCAGCGACGCCGACTCCTACGCCGGGAGCTCTGTAGGTAGCAATATATATATATATATATATATATTTTAGGGCATATTCTCATTTCATGGTTGTAATATAATTAGCCATCTTAGATTTTCTACAGGATATCTTTCTCCATTCTTTCTTGTCTAGCTAGCGACTTATGTAGAGTGGGGCGTATCTACCTTCTCAAATTCGGAAGTGTTCTAAAATCATATCTCCATCCATCCCAGTGGTGAATTCGAATCCGGATGAGAACAAAACAAAAAGGGACGCAATTTACCTTCCAAATTTATCCCACGTCCTACTACCGGGTACCCTAGTTATCCATCCAACTTACACCCAGCATCGTAGCCCTATATCTACTTCTCGTATATCAGATACACAGCACTTGTCCCACCCTCATTCTACCCGCACAATTCCCCCCAACCATCATAAAGCAAATCTTACCCTCCCACAACAACCCCTTGGCTCTCCGTATGTAACAAAACCCGGCCAAGGACTGTGGTACCTCCCTTCCCTACCTAACCCACCAAATACCACCAACCTACCTTGCGCAGATGCTCTATTTTTTAACTATAACTAGTAAATGGATGATGCTTATCACGCCCAGCCCTGAGGCCTGCGAAATCCAAACCCTGCCGAGTCAAATACACGTTGCAAGTTTCACCCCAAGGAATCAAAAGCGTAAGATATACCGAGTAGGGTTTCCTTTTGGTTCTTTATATGGTCTGACAGCGTCACACCTCCGCTACCAGAGACTAGGCAAACATTAAACAAGATTGGCAGTGCAGATTAGGGAACGCCAGTAGCATGGAGTGGTGTGAGAGGGAGGAGTGAGAAGCGAGGAGGGAGGATGAGTAAAGGTGTGGCACAGAGAAAAAACGGTAACGAAATTACTAAAAAGGATATGCCAACCAATCAGTTCTTCCCGACAGAACACACAGCCAAGGCTATAGAGGAGCATCAGACTCATCTAGCTCCGGAAGTGAATAGGTCTCCCCTTGTCTGCCATTGTGCCATCCTCAAAAGACATCCCAGGATTATCAAAACGCATCAATCTAGAACCGTCAGCATCCCATCCAATGAAATGGTCTCGTCGTGTTATCTGCCTTCCCTGCTTTGTACAGCTGCCTGGTTAGTTTTCTTCTGAGAGCGCGGAAACAATTCAAATCTCACCTGGTAGGGTGAGATGACAATGCGGACATCGAGTTGAATATGCTCTTGCAGGGGTGATTGCTAATGCTGAAGTTAAAGCAGCAGAAGGGAAAATTAATTTACAGGATCCAAATTCGCTGTATGGGCAAAGAACGTAATATGTGTTGCTGTCCCTGTATATGTTCGCTTTCCTATCTGCGCCTGAATCCATCCGACACAGAACTAGTCAAAAAAGGCCCTGACAATGGGATATGGATCGTGACTTAGGCAGCAAGGACACTTCCCTCTCCGGACGCGATACGGAGTAGGATGTATCTTTCTTCGATTCGTCTAAATGCTAGAGTCACGTATTGATAGAAAACACTCGGTAGGAGCGTAGGTAAGTAGATATCTCCAAAATGCCCCTTACTCGGTGCTAGGAGGCCGAATACCTGAACAGAGAAAGTACCGAGTCAGCTACTCATCGTTTCTCAGACCAAGTGTCTAGTGAGACCCTATTATTTGACCAACATCATGAAAAAGGGTTTCGGGCATGTCAAATACCTATTAAGCCTAATAAATCGTCCTCCTTGGGCAACTTTGTCGTGACCTCTGTTGCGAGACATAAGACATTTCGGTTCCGTATCGGCGGAGTTCATAGAAGCAAGAGCCTATGCATGTCAGCTACAATGTTCGCCTGGCAAATAATGTATAGGATCTGGCACTTACGAATGAATCCGTATTGTGTCCAAAGTAAAAGGCAATTCCCTCCTTGGTAACTTTAACGGTCATCACCCCAATAGCAGCATGGCAGTGGCTACTCCTAACACCAGGATGGCCTAAGGAGAGTAAAGTTAGAATAATCATGGGAGTAGGAGCGGTTGCGGATAATTTCAGGGGTTGGAATAATAGCCAATCAAACACCGTACCCATAAAGTCTACATCGATCATAGCCTCTAGTGCTTCGTCTTCATTCACGGTCTCGAAAACGCCCGGCTGTCCTGCCACCTTTCGAGTACTTGAATATATCCGCTCCGCGCACACATTGGAGGCCATCGTTGTAGCCATATGCTCACCGGTGCCACTTGTCACAGCCGCAACACATGTTTTGGCTTCGTCTTCGGGATCCACTGGAATAACAGCGGTTCCAACACCAACAAGAGCCGCTGGGCCAGTACGTCCGCTGTGTTTCATGCCAATACCGCCAGAAGAAGAGCCTGCTGCGATATTTCCATGGCAATCAACAGCGATGGCCCCGACAGTGTCAATAATGTTGTCATCCGAGCCTATTATATAGCCTTTCCGAGGAGGTTCCTCAAATGAGTCGTTTTGGGCCTGATCTCCAAAATTTTCCGGCGGTATAGCATTTCCTGCATATCCAAGAGAGGTTGATGCCGCAGTTCCTAACTCTAAGGGGAATCTGGCCCTTTTCCGCTTTCGGTTTTCGGCTGATTGAAAGGAGCCATCGATTGCACCTGGGGATTCCGTAACGTGCTCTGTCCGGTTGAGACAGATGTCCACGAATTCCGCGTTCATATCCTCCTCAGACTCACGGACACTTGCATCGGGCAGATGTGTAAGAGGTCGAATGCTGGTATCAGGGGATGCCACGCCATCAGATCCATTATTAGAACTTGACGGAGGATTTGTAGGGTTTGACGAACGCCACCATGACCTTGAGGTAATATTGCGGCCAGGGCTGGAAAAACGAGATCTAGTTGAAGCAGTGTGTCCAGGGTGCTGATATTGAGGATCCTTTTGGGCCTCCTCCACTTGGGCCTCCTCAGCTTCTACTTGTGCCAAATCCCGTTTCCACCGCAGCCAACGTTCGCGCGAACCACCAGAAACAAGGAAGTCAGCATGGAGGATTGGCATGCCGTTTTCATATGCAAAATCTGTTGCCCCTGAGCCAACTAGAAGATTGGGTGGCACCCTGTTCAAAGACAGTGGCTTCGTTGAGACATCTAGAACGAGACGCGCAAGTGAAATCGGGTTTTTAATATCTACGAAGCAAGATTCATTAGCTAGAATGATATTAGTCAGGGAACTCTCTACACGCACGTTCCACAGCGCCAACGGCGCCGCTTCGACCCAGGTGGTCCACAATGGTCGCGTCGCATTCCACCGTGCCGTGAGCAGAGAGATTGCTGCCGTATCCTGCATTTGTAATTTCATGATCCTCCAAGAATTTGATGGCGACCTCGACCGCGTCCACAGCGCGTCCTCCAGCTCTCAAAACAGTCATTCCGAGTGTTGCCGCCCTGATTCCAAAATCAGTTCTGTAAAAATGCAACAGCATGGGGAATGTAAAAAGAGGGCTTACTGATTGCATACCCAAAGATGGGTTGATTCAGCCTGGTAGCTGTGGAATCCCGCGCCGGCATGGATAAAAATGGCAGAGACCCTCTGAGGCTGTACCTCCTTCGAATGAGAAAAAACCATGGCTGCGGTGGAATCAAGTTTCTTTAGAATAGGTATCAGAAGTCAACTATGGGACAATTGACACTCTCAAGGCTAATACCAGGGTTTAATGAGCGAAGTGAGGCCGTGGAGTAAACTCAAGTGAGGAGATATTCTGTTTCGCAGTGAAAATCCTGAGATTCACATTGGGTGGTTAGAAGCAAACACCTCCAGTCAAACAGCTGCTGTGAAAAGGTTCAACACAAGAGCTGCCCCCTTTGTACCTTGATGCGCCAACCAGCGCAATGGATTAAGTTGATAAACACTAGCTGACCATAATAAAGTGGTATTGAGATATCCAAGTGAGCGGGTATGGTCGCGTTGCTATGCAGACGGCCAGGGCTAGGCTACTAAGGAGATACTGAGCCCGTGGCTCACGGGTAAAGGAATGAATGGCAGCAATAGGGAAAATATATAGGTATGCTTCTAGGTAAAAGGTATAGAGAAGGCTAATACCCCTCAGACGACAAGATAATAGTAGGATATAAACGAATGAACAGGAATAGTAGGCTGAGGGAGGATAAGGTATAGAGTGAGAATGGAGAGAAAATGGCTCCAAAGAAACAACAAAAAAGGGGAAAAATAAGACAAACGGAACGGGGACAAAAAAGGTGCGCATTACAGCCGCATTTCTGCAGAAGGAGACACACGCATCAGAGTCCTAGAAGAAGCCGCAGCCTGGAATCGACTGTTTATTGTGGACGGCTTGAGGTGTATAACTAGTAGTAGTACAGCCGCCCGAATGCCGTTTCCCCATACTCATGGAAGAAGGGAGCGAGCAAGAGAAAGCGTAGCAGGCTGGGAGAATTGAACAAAGAAATGGAACAAAAAAGAAACCAATGTAGCTCCACGATGCAGTAGAATGACTATGAGAATAGTTTAATTTAATGTCTTGAGTACGGAGCACATTTCATCTTTAGTCGAAGTTTTATATACGGAGTAGAGAGAGCTTCAATGCGGCTCTCGTTGGTTTGGTCAGCCGCCACGTGACTGCGCTTATCTCATCAACTGCAGTGACATCGCCGGAGGGGGAGGGAGTCCACAGCGTAAGCTGCCATCAGATTAACGTTATACCAACAGCCTTTTGCGATCTGTCCGTCTCTGCACCATGCTTGGTTTGCCCGCTGTCTAACGCTCGTAACTCGTGTCTACACCATTAATTAACTGCAATCAAAAAGCCTGCAGAGGCCCCTACAAATTGCCATTCCATTCTGACTACATACAACTCCGCCGCTCTCGTCTTCCCCACCCCTACTCGCAATGGCGGCTCAGACTCCCGCCGTTGTCATGGACAAGTATGTTACCATTGAATGATTAAGCTCCATTCTACTTCTGCGACTAATGATATTCTGCTTCCTTCAGCGGCACCGGATTCTCGAAACTTGGTGGGTGCTCTTCAAATTGCGCGGCCTTCTCCCCCGCCAATACCCAACTTAGGCTAACGTCATTGTGTTTTTGCTAAGGGTTCGCCGGCAATGATTCTCCTTCTTTCGTGTTCCCTACAGCGATCGCTACAAAGTCTGCCGGTGGTGTAGGAGGCGGAACAGGATCTGGTCGACCTGCTGTCGCAAACAAGCCTTCATTCCTTACTGGTGGTGCAGGTCCCGGCTCACAACTATCAGGCAAACGGGGGACGGAAGATTTGGATTTCTTTATTGGAGATGAAGCTATTAACGCATCGGGTGGCCCCGGGTATGGTATCAACTATCCAATTCGCCATGGCCAAATCGAGAACTGGGACCATATGGAGCGATTCTGGTCGAACTCCATCTTCAAATATCTCAGAGTTGAGCCCGAGGACCACTATTTCCTTCTCACCGAACCTGTATTTAATCCCCATTACTTCCCCCACCTCCATCCAGATGCGCGGACGGTTCACATTCTAACACATCTACATTAGCCATTAAATCCGCCAGAAAACCGGGAAAATACCGCAGAGATCTTTTTCGAATCGTTCAACTGCGCCGGTCTTTATATCGCAGTTCAGGCTGTCCTAGCCCTCGCAGCCTCGTGGACGTCTTCCAAGGTGACTGACCGTTCCCTCACCGGTACCGTAATTGACTCCGGTGACGGTGTCACCCATGTAATTCCCGTTGCGGAGGGATATGTTATCGGGTCCTCTATCAAAAGTATACCCATTGCTGGGCGAGACATTACACACTTTGTGCAAAACCTACTTAGGGAGCGGCAAGAAGCAGACAGCTCAATGAAGACCGCAGAAAGAGTCAAGGAGGAGTACTGTTACGTATGCCCAGATATCGTGAAGGAATTCGCCCGCTACGATCGAGAACCTGACCGGTTCCTGAAACACACCGTGACATCGCCCAACGGCCGAAGCGTCACCATCGACATTGGATATGAGCGTTTCCTTGCACCCGAGATCTTCTTCAACCCAGAAATTTACTCGTCAGATTTCCTTACCCCCCTCCCCACCGTCGTGGATGGCGTAATCCAATCCTCCCCTATCGATGTTCGGCGGGGTTTGTATAAGAATATCGTGCTTTCTGGAGGTTCGACGTTATACAAGGACTTCGGCCGCCGTTTACAGCGTGATATTAAGCACTTAGTCGATGCCCGAATTCGCGCATCGGAAGCCAGGAGTGGTGGAGCGCGTAGTGGCGGCCTAGAGGTCCAAGTGATCACACATAAACGGCAACGACATGGCCCGTGGTTCGGAGGCAGCTTGCTAGGCCAGACGCCTGAATTCCGCAGTTACTGCCATACTAAGGTTAGTTTTGATTTCTAATTATTACGAAGTATAATATTCAATAGAGCTAACCTTTCCCTCCCTCCGTCTTCGTTTAGGCCGAATATGACGAGATTGGACCTAGCATCGTCAGAAGATTTGCTCTGCTGGGTGGACCGGGAAGCACATAGAAAGCTACTACTACTTACATCTTAAGCATGTTCGTTCAATTTATATCATTTGCGATTTTCCCGACTTTTTTTCGCGTCGCTACTTTTTCCGTTTTTTTTTTTTTCCCTCTCGTTTTGTAGCTTAGAGTCGAATGTTTAGCAAAGTTCAAAAGCTCAATTCTTATCCAACGGAACATGGAATCTAGCCCTTTCCCCGTCTAATTCTTGCGTCCATCACCAGGCGAATCTCAGGAGGCACACGGATAACTTTTCACGCTGTTTGAGTCGCACGATAACGTCTGCGGGACCTCTAGTTATGTCCAAACAAAACAGAACAATATTGAATCGTATACCCATGAACTCAACATACAGAAACCCTTACTTAACAGCTGCCCCTTGCCCCATTCCGCTTACCAAAAGTATACCATACTCAAAAATATACATAAAGAAATCAAGTCACACACATCTTCACCAAAGCATACAAGGCATGTGCTCCAAAAAAAAAAAAAAAAAAAAAAAAACAATGCATTATTCAATCTTTTGAATCACTATACCACTATACCACTCACTATACCCCTCCCCCTCCAACACAGCTTCCCACTCCGCCACTGCCTCCCCCATCACCAGCTACACCTCCAGCCCCAAAAGCCCCAACACCCCCATCACCACCACAAACCCCCGCCGCAACCTCCGCAACGCAAGTGCCAGGTATGCAGTTCGCAGCTCCGTGGACGTCCGTACTCATGCACGACGGGTTCGTAGGATATATGGCCGACGTGATGGACAGATCGGTAGCGTAGGGCGCGTAGAACGGGATGAAGATGGGATACCCCCAGATGATGGGGTAGTAGCCGTAGCGGCGGTCCTTAGCAGGGGTGTGTACGGATAGGGACAGACTAGATGTGGACGCAGAGGCAGATGCAGATGCAAGAAGGTGTTGCTGCCGTGTAGGTTTTTCGGCTAAATCGTCGCTACTCTGCCCCGTGTCCTGCATCCCCGTCCACAGGTGCCTCCCTTTTCCTTTGTCCGGCATCTCTTTCTTCTTCATCTCCTCCTTCGACCTCGCCCTCTCCCGCTTTTCCTCCCTCCTCATCGCCTTCTGATGATAGTCCATGAGCCGCTGCCGCACGCCATGATGCTTACTCTCCACCATCCATGGCTCCTGCATCTTCGCCACCGGCACCGCATTATGCGTTGAAATGTGCGGATTCGCACCGGTTGGATTCGTACCGGTTGGATTCTGACCGTTTCCCAGCTCAGCGTGTAGCGACTCCGCCAGCTTCTTCGCCCGCGATATCAAATACATATTCACAGCTGGTCCATAGTTCGCCTCACGGGTAGCCTCGCAGTACCAGCATATACACTCGCTATAGGGTTCGCCGTTGGTATACTCCATATACTTCTTCGATGTCCACTCGAAGGCCATGGTGAGCTGATCTTCCGTGACCTTATCATCATGATCGATGAAGCGGTCGTGCGTTTTGTGGAGGGAGTAACGGAAGTAGGATTGCGGGGCGAGTTGGTGCGTGTGCCAGCCCAGATCGATATCGAGGGTGGGTACGGCGAGTTTCTTGTGCTGGGAGATGATGTGGATGAAAACTGTGTATCTGCTTAACAGATGCTCCACGGTGGCTTGGAGGGTGGGGGAGTGGAGCCAGTCAATTGTGTCCATTTTTGTAATGAAGGTCCCCTGGCGGACGACAGCGCCGACCAGGTCGAGACCGAAGACTGACGAGTTGCCCCAGTATCGGGAGAGGAGGCGGCGGAAGGCAATTTTCTCCTGGCGAGTTTGGGGGAGGGAGGGCATTTTTGCTGGGGCAAAGAGGTAGCGTTCCTTTTTGAAAGCGAATTCGAAGTAATCGCGGATTGTTTCTATGGTAGCAGCGGGATTGTGGTAGAAGTCTGTCCGATCTAAAAGATTGTTATGTAGGACTTTTGAGATGATTTTGTTAGGTAGTTGCATGTTTTCATGGCCTTTATGTTTGGTGTTTTCTGGGAGTCCGTTGAGAGAAAGAAGGGTGCCCGGCATTGGTGTCTGATAAAATTGAAGCCGTGCCATATCTTGCCGAAACTGAGCGACCTGAAGGGTACTGTGCGTGATAACAAGGGAGCAACTGGGACAGATCCTGCGGAAACCTTTATCTGCGTAACCGTCACTGTGTTCGAAGGGCGTTTCCAGAGCGTCCAGCTTCCATTCCCTGCTCTCCCATTCCACCTCAATAGCTGTTAGGCAACTTGGACATTTTATCAGCTTGACTGGAGAGTCCAAGAGATTGTCCCAGGGAATCCCGGCCATCCGTTCAAAGTATTCCCTTGCATCATCTCCGGGTAAGAAGTTGAAGTCATCCCTATCCAGAGCTGCATCGACAGCTGCCCAGGGCATTCCTGTCACCCAAAAGCTCATCCTCCCAAGACGAATACAGTCCTCCAAATATATTCGTGGATTAAGCATATACGAATGCCACACCATGATAACATCTATCAAGAAAAAAGTATTAGTCCGCCGAAAAGAGAAAGAAAAAGTCGCTGAAACCGTCTACCCAATGGTAATAGATTTGTACACAACAGGTCTTTAGATCGATACTAACCTAGCGGTGGTAGAGTATCAACAGCGAGCACGATCGCGGTATCCCAATCCGTAATCTTATGATAATTTTCACCATTTTCAATATCGTCGACTGTCACGGTGCCATTGAACAAGCCATTCCCGCTATCGGTGGTAATGCAACTGTTGAACCAAGTTTCAAATCGATCTACTGCCCTGGTCACATATATTTGCCATCTCTTTTCCCTTATAATAGCAGCAGCTCTGTACTTGTCATCTTCGGAGCTGAATTTATCGATGAGACCGTCGGAGAGTCCGAAAAGGCCATCAGTCGTCGATACCTCGTCGCGGAGATCTGCAATCGCAGCGAGAAGCTTTAGGTGCACTATGCATTCATCCGCAGTCGGGGGCTCGTCCTCCATTCGTTTCTTGTCCGTTCTTGAAGATAATTTGAGATTGAGATTGGTTTGAGACTGAGCAGCGGGGGCGGAGATGGGAAGGCCCCCGACGTAGTCTGGGGGCATGTCATGGCTTTCATACGCTGGTGGGGGGGATGCCATTGTGACAAAAATCAGACACGAATGGAATTTAAACGAAAGATTGGACTCAAGAATTCAGATATCAGAAATTCCTACGTTCAGAAGGACTTTTATATGGGGAATCTTGTGTATCATGAAATTAATTAAGTGGATGTGATTTCAGTACACGGCCATTGAGGTAGGTAGCTCGGCATCAAGGGGCTCCCCTCTTGTTTGAACCCTAGAAGCGAATTTCTTTCGGACAGGACCCATGTCAACCTCACGGTGCTAAAGTAGGAATTCCAGAATGTGAAGCATTTGAGGAAGAATGGAGTTCTGCACAGCCTGGCACGGTGGAATCGCGATCAAAAGTCTGTAGCTCTAGCGCCATCGACGAAGAGCCGCAAGTGTTCGTTCGGGGTCGTAAATATTTAAGCCATTTTGCTCCCCACTCCACTCACTCACGAACTGGTTGTTCTTTGTATCATTCTAGAAAACGGAGGCGCCATTATTATTAATATTGGCCCCACGCTGCACGCAACAAGGAGGACATGAACTAGTAGCAAGTGCGCGGTGCGCCGCGGAGTCGTTCTGCCCTGAGAATAATGTGCGGAGGAGTGAAGGCGCTTGGCACGGTTATTCCGGGCATAAATATTCGCCTCCTTATTAGTGACCATTATTCTTTGAGAGATTGGTGGCAGCATTATTAACAAGTTATTGGGATTCCTGATTGGCTTTTGACAGTGGAAGCGACTCCTCGGCCAAGTGTTTAAAAAATGGCTTATATATATTCTTATATCTTTTGACTTCAACGAACTGGATTTTGGGAGAAATGTGACTGAAATGATCCTCTAGTCTTCTGCCTTCCAGTGAAATTTTACCGCCAGATCTAGCGGTCATCTTCCTGCGGTCTACCCTTTGTCAAGGAAGGCACCATTTTTCTAATGTTTGATTGCAGTATCCTTCCAAGGTTGACTTGAGATACGATCATGGATAGGCCTCAATATTATATTACAGCTATATGCCCATGGAGTGAGGCTGCCAAGGGCGGGGCGCCCCCTCATCCGAACCTTAGCTGGGCGGAATCGCAGCGCCGACGTCAGCAGGAACCGGAGTCCTCGCCGGCGTTGCTACAGTCGTACCCTGAGGTTGCGAAACAACCTTATTTAGAATCGCAACTCCCTCGACATGGCCCGTTTGTGGGAAGAAATCAAATCCCTTAATACTCTCGATTTCATACCTCACTTCTCTTCCGTTGATGTTTCCTCCCTGAACCAGCACACCGACATCGCGCGCCTGGGTATGGACATTGCAGCTTACGTATACGACTCTCGCGGGCGCGTACGATAGTAGTTGTTCTAAAAAGTTGGTGTCGCAGCCCTTTCGAGGTGGGTCAATGACGAGCAGGGTCTGATCTGGCGGATAAGGAACGTCCTTGAAAATGGCGGCGGCGTCCGCGGCAGCGAAGCCGGTATTGTGAAGCTTGTTGGCGCGAGCGTTCATGCGGGCTGCTGCGATGGAGGGGATAGAGATGTCGATGCCGAGGGATGAGAGGAAGAGAGGTGAGAGAGTTACGGTGAAGAGACCGGAGCCGGAATATGCATCGAGTAGGTACTTTAATTTTGGGGCGGGTTGCGCGGTAGATAGTCTTGAAGGAGGGAGAAGGGCATTGTCGCGGATATATTGGGTGAATGGGGTCAGGATGGAGTTGTTGTTTTGGAAGAACTGGCCAGCCTTGTTCATAAACTTGTAGTTGTCGACGTACTCAATCGAGGTTTCATTTTGATCTGTAATGCAGCGCTTTTCCTCGATGAAGTCTGGGTACTCTGTTCGAATTACCTGCTCCCCGTGCTCGTGCACGAGTTCTCTTTCTTCAGAGAAAGATCGTTCCGACCCGTTTTCCGACGGCTGTGGACTGGTACTCTCACGCTTGTAACGGCGCGTGGTACTTTCTCTCAATAAAAGTGTCGCGCCTTTGCTATACGAATGCAGGTTCTCAGCAACTCTCTTGCGCTCACTTTTCAACCCAAGTCTAACAATATCCGTTCCTAAAGGACAGTCTTCAATATCAATAACGGTTCGTCTACCCTTGAGCATGAACCCAATGGGCGGAATCTCCGATTTCTCTCCGTCCACGCTGGCGCGTCGGATGCGACTCGACATGACGAAATGGGGGGTCAATTTGGTTCGATAGCCGTATTGCAATGGCGAACCCATCGTATCCCGAATCGCGGGAATTAATTCAGGTAGCAGCCCCGAAAAATTGGCGTATGCCTTCTCTAGAATCCTTTTCTTGTGTTTCAGTTGGTCTTCATATGGAAGCATCTGGAGCTGGCAGCCTCCGCATTTGGCGAAGTACTGGCACTTAATAAGAGAGTCATCGCGCTGGGGGGATGGCGTGATAACTTCGAGTAGATCTGTGACGCTGTAAGACTCCTTGTGCATGGTCCTAACAACCTTGACTCGAGCCCTGTCTCCCGCAAGTGTGAATGGTACGACATAGACATGATCGAACGAAGGGGAAAGCGCCAGGCCGTCTCCCGTGGAGGATATCTCGTGTACGGTAACTTCAGTCTCTGGGAAGGCCTCGCTCTTGTGCTCACGCACAACTGTTGGCACTTTTACAACGTCGTTCTGCTCTGCGCTCTCTGCGCTCTCAGCATGTTTTTTCAACAGCGCCTCCACATCGAACAGCAGCACTTCTTCCGTATCGCCTTCCTTAACATCCTTTGCAACCTTCTTCTTCTTATGCTGAGGACTCCCTCGCTGATTTGGGGTTCTGCGTGTGTTTTGGGGCATGCTATGAACCCCTAGCAGCGGCTGATACTGATGGTGAGTACGGTATGGTCTTGAGGAGATAGAGTGTTGCGCCCGCGATATGCATGAGCCCGAGAGTTCAAAACTATGTCGCGCCGAAAATAGGAACGACCTAAGGGCTGAATTAAGCATATGTCGATGAGGATATGGGATCATGGAATGCACTGCGAATCGGGGTGCATGAAGTATGGAATAATAGGTTTGAAATTTGCGGCGCACATATTATTTTTAATAATTTTTAATTTTTTGGTGCTTGGTTCGAAGCTTTTCATTCGGACCAATCAGCGTTGCGGGAAAATCTGCCCAGCAAATTTCTCGCCGAAAACCAAAAATATAGAAAAACCAAAAACCACAACTTCAGCATCAAACCACCCAACAAGGCGAGGCTTCGCCAATATCCATCACGACGTCCTCTGTCCCCCATTGATCTTTGCGAGTGAAGCCAGTATTGGCCTCACCAGCTACTTCCACCACCATGAGCCTCGCACGCCCCGCGCGTTGTCTCTTCTGCTCCCTATCGCGCGGTCCTCTCACCTCCATCCCCCGGCGACAGTTCCACCAATCCCTTTCCCAATATGAGAAGGAGGAGAAAAATGCTATGAAAAATCCACATTCCGTTAAGCCCCCTAGGAAGCTTAAGCCAAAAATGTTCAAGCCGTATTCAGAAGAAGAGAAGAAGCGCCTTGGAGAGGAGTACACACCGGATCAGATCGCCGCAATTGAAGCTGGTGAAAAGAGCATCAGCCCGGAAGATATGGCTCGCCAGTTTCACCAGAGAGATGACCCATGGGCATTCAAGTACCTAGACGACTTCTCCACCGTTGAGCCTGTCGTCGACCACCATATCCGCCGCCCAATGACCAAGGGCGTCCCGATCCCACGCATGAAATCTGAGCAGGAATTGATGATGGAGGTCGCCAACTATCTCGAACAAATGCCTGAGGAGGATGCCGAAAACAGGCCTGAAAAAATCTTTGAGTTCATGGATGAGATGAGCCTTGTGAAGGATCCCGTCGACGAATCTTCCTCTCTAGTGCCAGATATTACCCAGCCGTACGAAACAATCGATAATATTGGCGGAGGCCCGAACCTCCAGCTCAGAAAAGAAGATCTAAAGCGACAAGCGCAGGATCCAAATATCTTGGAGGCTGAAGACCCTGAAATTCAACTAGATTACGAGAAAGTCTCCCGTGCGACGGGTTGGCCTGTACGCACACTCAAGGGCTTACAGGTGAAAGCTCTGGTCCAGAGAATGGTCGCCAACCAAACCCGTCTGGGCAAAATCCGCCAGACCTCCATTCTTTCCGTTGCAGGAAACGGCAGGGGTCTGTTAGGTATCGGGGAGGGAAAATCCCGTGACTTTGGAGAGGCGCTGATGCAGGCTCACGCTCGAGCTATTCGAAACATGCGACCAGTCCTGAGATATGAGGATCGAACCATCTATGGAGATGTACGGGGGAAAGTGGGCGCTACAGAATTGCAATTGATGCATCGACCGCCAGGTATGGATAAATATTTCTCCCCCCAAACCCACGCTGAATTGTATCTTGTCACGCTGACATAAAATCCCTTCCCTTCCCAAGGTTTCGGTCTCCGTTGCCAACAAAGCATCTGGGAAATGTGTCGTGCGGCCGGTATTCGTGATCTGGCCGCCAGAGTCACACGATCCCGCAACAAGATGAACACAGTGAAAGCTACCTACGAGGCTCTAATGAGCCAGAAAGATCCAGAAGATATAGCCCGCGCCCGAGGCAGAAAATTGGTCGACGTGAGAAGGGTATATTACGCCGGAGCTCAGTAAAATTGGCGTTTAGCCTCCCCTATTTTTTACTTTTTGTCCCTTACAATTTCCGCTATTAAAGCAGATCCTTCCCATTTATCTACGCAATTCTGCTGTCACACATTGGATAGCGAAGCAGTGTCATGATAGATAGCGTTGCGGGATATGCTTTTGTCTGCTATACCTTGCCTACCTAACCGCTTGCTTGCGTAGTTTTTTTTGCATGTACTCTACCCACTCCTGCTATTATACGGTGATGGTGATGGCATGTACTTGTATTAGTATGTATGTGTTATTTTTTATATTAGAATACAGATATTGTCTTCTGTCTGTTTTCAACGACCTGCTTAATTATCTATATCTTCTTTTATAAAAAACCACAGATCCGGACCGTCTCCTTCATCATCCATTGAAATCCATGCATAAAAAAAGAGAATCGGAGACCGAAAACGCCATCTATCCAGCCAGCCAGCGACGAGGGTATAAAGAAGACAGAAAGAAAATAAAATGGCCCATTAACCCACCCACTCCATATCACGCACGCACAACATACAACTTAAATCACCCCAATCCCTCCAATTAATCACCCTCCCCATACCCATCATAACCCCCCTCACCTCCATGATGCTGATGCTGATGCTGATGCTGATGCTGATGCTGATGATCATGCCTATGCCCATCCCCATCCTCCCCATTATAAATCTGCTGCTGCAACACAATACTATACACACTCGCCTTGAGCAGCGTGCACACCGTCGCCGTCTTGCGTTCCAGTAGGCGCAGGGCATCGAGCGTTTCCGCCGCAGGGCGGGTGGAGAGGTGCGCGAGGGAATCGGAGAGCTATATATATATATATATATTAATATAACTGTGTTAGACCTTTCTTTTTCAACATATATAAACTTAAAACACGATGAAGGAAAAACGTAAAATATGTAATTATTAACCTTATTCATATTCCCCAATAACCGCACATACTCATCCAGCACTTCTTGTTCTAGCGGGGTGAGGAGGGGGTTTTCACGGAGGAGCGGGTTAGTCGCCGTCGGATCAGTTGTGGCCCCCGTCGATATCGTTGCGGGTGCGTCATTGTCATTATTATCTGCGGCTGTTGGGTCGATATCGATATCGGTATCGTAGTCATTGGCGGAGGAGGATATTGGGCGCGATGAGAGGGGGGATGCCGGGCGAGGCATTTTTTTTTCTGTTTTGTTTTTCGACTTCTTTTTTCCCTCTTCTCCTCAATGGGTGTTTCCTCGTGTTATTTTCGATTTGGAGAATAGAATGCTGGCTCCTGAAGCCTGTGAGAGGGCTTGCGTTGTGTTTCGACAGTTGTTTCAAAAAAGAACACACGCCCCAGCGTCGTGCAAACCTTGCTGACACCGTTGGATTTCGACCGCGCAATGGGTTCAATGGGTTAGTACTTGAGTGAGAGGACTCTGAAAATGGTTCGAGGGTATCCGGTAGGCAAATCGAATATTACTTGATCACTCTGCTTGTAGCTAAATATGTGTTTGTGGTGGTTGTGTTTGTTGCGGGGCATAATGATTGGAATCTACCACAAGCACAAGCCCTGCCCAATGACATCAACATTCATTTTCATCAACCTTACTCCGTACAAATGAAGCAAATTATTAAATGTGTAAATAATGAAATAAATGGAATTTATGGTAAAGCTAAAATATATAATGAATTATCTAAAATTAGGATGATATATATAAGCAGCTGTAACTAATATCTACAGACATGGATAAAAGATGCTCGGAATCGCAAAGAAAAATCGACGGCACTCAAACCACTTCATCTCTCGTCATCTCTCTCTCTCTCCCTCTCCCTCTTTTTTTGTCATTTCCGCTTGCGCAAGTAAGATAATGCGGAACCGGAGCAATCGATTCGCATATATCCCCGAGCATATCATAGGCTGGGCTGCCCAAAGGGAACAAGAATGTCAGTGGACAAGAAAAAGAAATCTCACGCAGTGTAGCTATAAGTCTGGCATTCATAAGAAGGAAATATTTTGACGACGGAAGAGACAGCATAGTCGCGACTTTTTCTCTCATAGCCTTCATTGGATCAAGGAGGGCGAGGAGGGTCCGGAAGGAATAATCAAAACCGATAGACCGAAAGATAGAAGCTGGGAAGATAATCATTCGGAGGAAGGAGGGGGCGGGGGCCTCAAAGGAAAGCAGTGAAGCATACCATGCAGGGAATGAAAGTATATAGCCCTCCTGGTGAATAAAGAGCCTCCGCGGAGTGGGATCGTGTTATCTGTGTTCCCTCAGTTGAGGAGTTCCCGGATGGATTGGAGATGGATAATAGGTATCGGAAGTAGGAGATAGAGAGAGAAACGAGAAGGGTAGAAGGAGAATTGCAAAACCCTCAAGATGGAGGAGCAGTCAGCTTACATGTCTCCTTCTCAACTCAATCGCGTTTTAACCTTTCCCTTTGTTTCTCAGCGAAAAGCAGGGAAAAGCAGGGAACAGAGGGGATATGAGGCAAGGGAAGAGATTGAGGGAATGAAAAGGATAAACATGGGATACCGTGTGGTTTTCCTTCACTCGAAGCGGATGCATCCCAACGAAGGAGAAATGTTGGAAAAAGTGATGTACGACTCAAGCATCAGCAAAAGCCGAAGAGAAAATGGCTGAGGTAAGGAAGCTAAATCCTTAATGCATACGGCAAAAGCAAGAAAAAAAAAAGAAAAAAAAAGAAAAAAAAAGAAAAGAAAAAAAAAGCAAAAAAGAGAAAGATGGAAACAAAACAGGATAGAAGACAGGAAGTAAATTATGAAACACGAAAAGTGAAAATGAGCAGGCAAAAAAGAAAACTGTCTCAAGTCCAAAGCAAGCATATGCACTCCAAACACCCCCACTATGAATTTCATCTGCTTCCAAAAAGAAAGCGAACAAAACAACCTACCAAAAAAATGCGGGATGTAGTTTTGTTCATAAAAGCAATGGAAGTCGTGCGATCGATATTTGTTCTTCTTCATCTCGTCGGCGTCGATGTATATCGTCCTTCTCGGGAGTTTAATTGTTCGAACAAAATACACCGGTATGTCCACATGTATTAGATCGTGGTATTCGATCCTGAACCAAAGCCCAGCAGGGAATGTAATTGTCAAACATCTGAATTCAGCGCAGAAACACTTCTTCGGATTCAGTTTCACCGCCCATTCGACGACGACGGCACACGATCATCAATCATATGATGCCCATGCTCCTCCCCGTCATGGTGAAGCGTGACGCTATTGAAGTCCTCGAACGGATCTGCAATAGCTTCTCCAGATGGCGTTGCAAGACCAGAGTCCATCGGCACCCCTTTAGCTTTTGACGAGCCGCCGATATCGACACTACCACTTTCCTTGACGTTCCGGAAGTTGATCGTATCGGTGGCACGGCCTTGGTGGGGGATCATGGGCGGTTTCATGTGGCGGATTAGTGCCCACTGTGTGGTGCGGAAGAAAGGGTGGGTTTTCACGTCTGAGGCGCCTGCGCGCGCTCCTAGTCGGCGGGTTTCGTCCTTGATGAGTAGTTTGCGGATAAGAGATTTGCAAATACTTTTGAAAAAAATAGGGGTGGTTAGTGGTTGATTTTAAACATTGGAGTAGCAACATTCATTAATATATCCAACTTACTTCGATATCTGCGGCGAACCAGAATTCTCCGGGAACGGTACTTCATCCCTTAAGATGTTGGCAAAAGTGCTATTCCGACTCTTGCCTTTGAACGGCGTAGTTCCAAAAAGCATCTCGTATATCAAGATACCCAGGGTCCACCAATCGACAGCGCTCGTATGTCCATCGCCCTTGATAACCTCTGGTGCTATATATTCCTCCGTTCCTACAAAGGAATTTGTCCGGAAATCGGCGATACATGACTTGGTGTCTATAGTTGGTAATGACGTGGGAGAAGCACCATTGCGGCCTATGATCATAGTTGGGGCTCCACCGGGTCCGGATTGTTTCGAGAGGTCGAAGTCTGAGAGCATTATGTGTCCTGACTGGTGTAATAGGATATCTAAAATACACATTAAGGTCAGCACAAAAGATTTGAGTATATGAGGAGGACGCGAGCGGTCTTACTCTCGGGTTTTAAATCACGGTAAATGAACCCCATGAGATGGAGGTATTCCAAGGCAGCAGTAACTTCTGCAGCATAGAAGCGGGCGTCGTCTTCTGGAATACATTTGCCAGGGCGCGTTTGAAGAGCTGTATTCGAGCTTAGCCATTGCCATTCTTCACATGTGTGATGCTAACAATTTACCTCTGAAAAATTCGCCGCCACTGCAATACTCCATGCAGAGATAGAGGTGATCCTCGGATTGGAATGAATGGTATAACGTGACGATAAAGGGATGGTTGCTCGTGGCGAGAATCTCCTGCTCGGCCAGGGCCCTTTTGATCTTATTCCGCTTGATCATCTCCTTCTTGCTCAGGACTATAAGAAAGTTAAAATCAACCCTCAGTCAGCACATGGACCTCCTCACGAAACGGTGTCATAACCAAAGCCCGGTGTTTAAAAAATGTCGTCAAATCACTCACCCTTCATCGCATATAACCGGCTCGACTTCTTCTCCCTCACCAAATATACCTTGCCTACATCACCCTTCCCAATCAATTTGATCTTATCAAAGCTCCCCGGCCCAACCTCAACATTCCGCACCTTGATGGAATTCGAGCTATATGTCCTCCGAAACGCAATGGGATTCCGATTCAGGTTTGGCGGGGGAAGGTTCGACAACTCGTCAGCACCAGGTACTGTAAGCGAATTACTCTTGGTCGTCGCATCAACTAGACTCAGCCTGGCACCGTCACCAGCACCAACTCCACCAGTAGTAGCACCATGTTCCACAAGGGGTTCTTTCCCCAGCTCCGCCGTCCTCGGCCTATCATCCGACTTATTACCGGAAAACAGGCCCTGCGCGTTTGGTGCGGAAGCCACCCTTCTCAACTTTCTCGCCAACTCCTCCTTGCCCGCCGTCGTAGCCTGCTCGCTAGCCGCGACACCATCCACCTGCAACTCCGGGGTATCAGCATTAACCGAGGACACACTACCGTCATTCCGATGTCTTAAGGCCGGGTATCCTTGGTGAGCAAAGTACGGATTCGCATAGGCGGTAGGTGACATGCCTTCGTCTAACGGGTTTCCTTCGCTAGCAACCGTCGTCGATCGATTTCTAGTGATAGTGGGGAGAAAACGCGATTGCCGGAAAGTGGTCTTAGTCTCCGATTTGCCCGGACCGGAGGAGCCGTCATTCTGGGCGGCACCGCCATGTGAGCTGTTGTTATTGCCGCCGCTGGTGCTGGTGTTGCTATTGGTGGAGGACGAACTGTTGATGCGGAAGAAATTCTTCAGCTTCGTAGGGAAATGGGAGGAGTCGTTGGAGGAGGAGTGTTTCTTGGTGGCTAGTGATATGCCGGGGAAATTGCTGCGTTTCTCATGTCTCACGCCTCCGGTCGACCCGGAGGAGGTGAAAAGCTGTGTCATCTCCTATCTCTCTCTCCTTCTATATGGAGATATATAAATAAAAGTAAAATAAAATAAATGACGTTTCTCGTAGCAAAAGCGCAAGGAGTTCAAATCCTCCTTTTGTTATCTTGAATTTAAAAAGCAATTAAAAACAACGAAAGTCTGAAGTTGGGTTCGTTCGGCTAAATCTCAAGAATGGCGAGTCCAGTGGACAAGATTGTGAAGGTCGGGTGGGGAGAGGATTGGGGGTGGAGGAGGGGTGAGACACGGCCGGGAGCTTTCCTTGAATTGAAAGTAGCTGGTATTCGAGACAAAGCGGCGGACGGGGCGGACAAACCGGAAGTCTCAAGAGATCGGCAGGAAATCTGGATTCAGCGAATGGTGGGGGGGAGCCGGTCTTGGGGAAGGGTCGAAAAAAACTCTGGAATTTGAACGAACTTGGCGTATGTGTTTGTATACCAGTCCCACGAGGTGATTCTTTTCGCAAAGGTGGCCTTCTTTATTTTATTTTTTTTTAATTTTCTTTTTACTTTTCAAAAGGGCGTTTAGCAAGGGTAGGAGGTACGGACGGTATGTCTGACCCAAAGGTTCATAGCAGCGCTGGATCCAATGAGGGCTGGGCAGCCGGACAAGAAGATTCCACGGGCAGCACGAACATGGATAAAGACACACAGAGAGGAAGAGAGAGGTAATAAGTCTGTTTGATAGTTGACAGGTCTCCGTGGGAACCTTTAGGAGTTGTTGGCTGTGGTGGTGGTAGTTGGTGCTGGATGGATGGGTTGAGACAGGAAGACGTTGGAGGCTCAACTGGGCGTGATTGGGTAAGCAGCCTTACACAGTAAGGCATTGGGAAATATTTGGGGTGACTTGGGAGTGAACACGGCCCAGCGGCGAATCGGCATGCCCGCTCGGGTACCGCGCTTGTCACTCCTGTCGGGCCCGCCTCGGCCCTTGTGCTGGATGCGCAGGCGGACGCTACCGAAAAGTGCAGATGAGGCTTCATCCAACAGGCAAATTTATTATTAATTGAGCCACGATAATGCATACATATCAGGAACAAAACTGTATTGTCATGGATTCCTAATCCTGGGACTCGAAATGTCTGTTGCTATAAAAACCATCATCGCTTGGTCCTCAACTATTTGCCCAACTTTCCTGTCGTTACTTCTTTTTTTAGTTTTTTTAGGTTTTCTTTTTTTTTTTTTTTTTCAGCTCCAGTTTTCTTTCTTCAACAAAAGCAACCAAGTTATCAAATGTCAGCCATTAATCATGCAGTCATTATTAGCCACCTGTCAGCAATCACTAACGCAATAATCAGACGAATCCCTCAAACAAAACATCATACGTCAATCAAATGCAAGCGCAATTCCTGTCCTTGTTCTCCTTCACTCTCCCCGCGCGCCATATTCAAGTGGTCGCCAATGCGCCAATTCCTGCCAATTCCTGTCAATCGCCTATCAAACAACCCCCTTTCTCCCAGTATCGGTGTTTCGCATGAGTTTTTTGACTTCTCTATCCAAAGGGACGACTATCCTTCCGGTACTTATCCATCAATTCTCTCTCCTCTTCACGCAAGTGCTGGAAAAATGCTCGCACGTCTAGCGGGTCGGGGGCTTTGCGAGGTGTCTTGCGGTACCATTTGTCGCCCGTGGTTTTGGTAGTGCTAGCACCGCCGACTGTAGAATTCAAAACGGCACTTGCTGCCTTGGGATTGCGGTCATCCGCGTCGCCTGCGCCATCAAAACGGGGTACGAAGCCGTACGCATTCACCTTATGAGATGCTGTCGAAGTATTTGTTTTGTGTGGCGAACCAGTGTCCTGTCCCACCTGCTTCCAAGGGCTGAATGGAATCTCATTGCTGCGTGCAGCAGTCTGGCTAGCTGGCTTGCCTACAACGACTGCACCAGCAGCTTTGCCAACGGGCGTGGGAGAATCCTGCGCTCTCATTTTCTGCTTGGTATGGTGCTTACCACCGTTATTGTCACAAAGGACGTCAGCATTGCCCGCCCCGCTAGCCCCATCGTAGGTTTGTCGTTTCTCTTCATTTGACCTAGTGTTCTTTGTTATGTTTAGATTTCCTCCGGAATGAATGTTTCTGGGAACAGTTAGTACAAGCCACTGTATCGTGCTAGCAGAACGCCATATTTATATACTCACTTATCATCATCACCTTTGCGTTTAACGCCATTCTTGTCTTTTCCCTCATTTATTTGCGATGAGGCGTTGCAGATCTTCCCAGGCGTTCGGATGGTCGTGTTTTGATTCCTACTTTGTCAAAGTCAGCATTTTATGATTGCTTCTTCATTAGCTGACAGAGCTTACATGCTGTCTTGAGAGGTACCTAGCGAATCAGTCGTTGCAGAGCGGGTACGGTCTGACTTATCACTAGAACTCGCAATTGTGGTCCCTCCGTTGAACGGAACTAGTGCGAGCTGCTTCCCTGCAGAAGCGGTGCACTGAGGATCCTTTTCACGTTGCATGGCCAGACCTTGGTTCTTCGTAATGCCAGAAATATTGAGCTTTCTTGCTACTATTGCCAGCTCCTCAATGAGTGGCCCCAGCGGTTCGCCTCGACTGGCCGCTATTTCGATATCGTGATAAACTCGAGCAATCTCGGGTGGAGCGCATTCCGTAATGGTTTCGTTGGTGCTCTCGAACATGCTTCCCGTCTCACTCGGTTGAATTATATTCAGCTGCTCATCTGACGAGATGGTATAATTGTTGCCAGCCATCAAATCATTGTTACCGGCCCACTCATATACCGTACTGTTGCCATGATTGTCTCCATTTAAAGGCTGACAGCCTTCAAAGCCGGTCACAGGACCGGGAAACGTGAAGGGCAGCCTTGCTTGTTCTAAAAAAGCATTGTCGAATGAATCAGCCATCGGTAGCCCCATCCCTGGAATCAAGCACCCAATTGGATTCATGCCCCCCAGAAATACATTATTAGTGTACTGTCCAATGTTAGACGGCCAAGGGGATAGGCCGCAAATCTCATTTGAGAATTGCTGATGGCCCAAAGACTGTTCCTCACCCATGGGCCGGGAGGTCAAGAATTGGATTGCTGCCTCAATCTGTTCTTTTGTTGACCTTGCGGCGTCAAGTTTCACGACAAGTTCTACCCGTTGATCAATAAGGATTTTCTTCGCAGCTGGGTCAATATCCCAAGAGTGTATTGCAAGGTATCTGTCCAAATTTGCAAGCTGATCTGTAAGTTTATCGTACTCCTGTGTCGCCTTTTCGAGGGACTTATGGTTTAGCGGCTCTGAGAGGCCTGCTGATGACATTACCTGGTTCGAAACCTGCGCGTTCTGAATCATCGCTTGATTTATCGGGATGGGTGAGACCGGGAATAGCTGCGGAGGAGCAGATATCATTAATCCTGATTGGTCGACAGGGTACATACCGAAAACTGCGCCGTGTTGTGTTGTATATGCCATGGGGAACATTTGGCCCGACGAAGAGGAAGCATGATACGGTTGGGGGTTGTTAGGAACCCAGCCAGCCTGATCAGCTCCTCCATTAGGGACAGAATAAGCGGAGGAAACGGAGGTGCTTTCCGATGTGATTTGCCGGACAGTTTCTCCTCTCACGGGATGAGAGTTGAGGGGTTCATTCACTTGCCGCTGGGTTTGTTGACCTGAGGCTGTCCTTGTCGAGGAGTTCGGAACCGTGTGATGAGGTTGCCTCGTATCCCCTGAATCCGATCCGGATATCGCCCGTGGAACCAAGAAATTGAAGCCGACAGGTTTGTTAGAATCTGGTTCGCAGCGCAGGCTTGGGTGTTGTATATCCTCTTTCTCCTGATTGAAGTCGGCACACGTCTTCAGTGGCTGGTTTTGCAAGTAGTTATTATTAGGTTTCCTAATTTCGACCTGTTCGGAACTTTTGACCGGTAGCTTGAACTCAGGGGCAGGAGATGATGCGAGGTTCATGGGAACTATTCGACCTCCTGCAGTAACCCTGTGATGTTTGGGTGATGCGTGTTCCTTCAGAAAGCGGGCGAAACCCGCATCACTTTGGGCGAGGGTGCCTTGGGGCGCATTTAATGGTTGACGACGAGGATACTGAACATTGTTGGACTGTGTGAGCAACAATCCGTCCTCGTTGCTCATAGAGAAGCTTGAGGAGATTCGGTGGCGGTTAACCGGCTTTTCTGTCAACACCCGACTCCCAGAGTCTTCTCTGCGGTGTCTCAAAGTGGCGACTGTTATATTTGTGAGTTTCACGTGGAAGAAATAAGTGTTTGAGGTGTAAAAGGTAGGATTACGCACCATCGATTGTCTTGGTACTATACGCGGAAGAATCGCTCCTTGCACCAAGCCGACGTCCAATATCTAACAATGTACGAATCTCATATCTCCTGGATTTGGTTTCATTAAACGATGGACGAAGACACGTTGCCTGAGCATTTTCTTGCCCGTTCTCCGAAACCCCTTTTCGAGATGAATGCCCTTCCTCCATGGCTGACATGTTCGCTACAGGAGTTGAACTTGCGTTTAATATCTCCTGTGCAGTTCCCTCGAATAAACTAGAATTCCTAATTTTTTATCAGTAGCTGCGACACGAAGAAAAATAAACGTGAGGCTCATCTTACCTTGGCCAAGGATAAATTTCGTTTCCCTTTAGGTTATTCGCCGCAAGGTGGACAAATCGTATAAGCCTTAAACGGAAATTAGTCAAAACGCCTGAAATGCCTGACTACAAATCAGCCAGTAAACGCCAGAATTCAGCAAGGAATGATAACGAAAAGCTTGAGGATAGGAAATCGATGGTGGTATGTGACAGCGAATAAGCTCAATATGGATGGCATCCATGCCACGACAATGGGAATAAACACGAGATCGATATGACTTGACAAATGATTATCTCATTCACATCGACTTTATCCAAGGTCAATTCCAACTGTGAGACAAGGACCTAAACAAAAGATATTGATCGTTTATCCAACGCCAGGCGCGCTGAAAAAATACCCTACCGATGAGAAGGTAAGCAAGCAGAACCCAAACACATACCAATTCGAGCAGTCCTCTACCGATCCAATGTCCAGAAACACAAAAAGACAAAGTTTCGTTTACTTTAGCCTTCTCCTTATACGACAAGTAGCTTCGGGTAACAAAGAACAAACTTGGCAGTTAACGCGGGTATGTGCCCGCCAACGGATCTTCCGAGACTGGGAGACGAGATAAGGAATGCAGTGGGGGGGAACAGGGAGATAGGTAATGAAAATAGAAAGGATATTACAAAGAATACACGAAAAAAGTCGAATTGAGTACGAGAAGATACAAAGGCACAAAAAAGAAAAATCTCGATTGATTTTAAGCCCCTCGAACCGGTCGCTTTTCAAGCCAAAACTGAGCTGTTGTCCCCTTGTCTGGTTGGGCGAGAGGTTTGGATGTACGAATCAACCAAAAACACGCGTGGAATAGGGAGCAAAGAAAAGATATGACGCCACAGGTTTCGAGGGAAGATTCAGTGCAGAGTAAGGAGAGAGAGATGGAAGAAGAGGATGAAGTAGAGGATGAACGGATAGAAAGAAGCGATTCTCTAGGGAAGAAACGCAGAATGTGAGAGTAGGAGGAAGATTGTTGTTGTGATGGCAAGCAAAGAGAGAGATGAGAGATGGAGAAGAAGAAAGAAAGAAAACAACAGAGTCAAGTGGGAGAAAAGAAGGAGGAGGGGGAGGAGGCAACTGCAACTGCAACTGCAACTGCAACAGCAACAGTTGTATATGATGTGTAATCAATCAACCATGTGGCAGGTGTGTCACACACCTGGTCCAAATGCCATCATGAGATGAAGTGTTGAGAAAGATCATGATGATGATGATGATGATGATGATGATGATGATGATATTGACAATAATGTTGATGATGAATGAATGAAAAATGAGCAAAAGAAGCAGTAGTCATGATTATCAGTATGATTTTTATATACACATCTATTGTGTTGTTATCATATTGAAATGCAAAGAAGAGAAAGACAAGAGAATAATAATAGTATAGAATGAACACTCTCACTATACTGTCCTGTGTTGTTGATTCACTCCTTATCATAGAGATTGATTGACAGAGATTGACAGAGATTGCTTTGCAGCAAGACCTTGTTATAGACAGTTTGCATTCATATAGTTAAATGAAAGAAACACACACACACACCAAAAAAAAAAAAAAAAACCCTGTGCATTCATTCATCATTCTGAAATTTGGAAATTTAGAATTGTTCTTTCCTCTCGTGATGTTAGGTGATATTAGTCTTGATATTTGTTTGCTGTCTGACATGCATGCTGAATACTTACAAATACATGTACATTATTTTGATGGAAATCTGGCAGCAGGAGTAAAGTATATCTAGCCAGATGCCAATGTTGGAAGGGATACGTAAGCTGCAAGACAAAAATAATAAGCAGTATTATGATGCCTAATCATGGCAGTTCTGTGCTCAAGATTGTTGCAAATGATTTTGTATAGCCCAACGCCAAATGGGAACGAGTGACTGAGATGGGTATCAAAGTGAGCTGAGATCAACATTGGGAGGGAATGCTGCTGTAATTCTGAGGGGCGCGTGTTTTATGGGTTAATGAACGATGCCTCCTCTTCGAAAGAGGGAGAGGGGTGAGAAAAGAACGAACAAAAGCCAAAAGGCACAACATTTCTCCTAATTACCGATCCAGCGAAACATTGAAGCCGGTGCTTGTGCCTCTCAAACATGTTCATGAACTTTGACAGGTTCGGCGATGGCAGTGACTGCGGGATCATCATCTTCCCAACTCCGCCGCGATCGTGAATCTTCAATATTTGGATTCGCATCGCTATTACTAGAGTCAATATCAGAACCTGTAGTAGCTGTCATTTTGCTCCACATTTCCCAGCTACCAACTCTCTCATCGCCACGGGAACCGGCCGGACCTGAGTTAGTCCAATCACCGTCCCCCTGCGGGACAATAATACCAGCGGTCGGGTGGCCCGTTTTCTTGACATTTCCACCCACCAGATCAAGGTCGCTCGCGAGTTTATTTCCGCCTTTGAACCCGCCAAGGTCAAACCTGCGACGCGTGGCCTTCCGACGTATACGAAGCCCAAAAGCCCAGCAGGAAAAGGCGACGATAAGCCCTGCCACGATTAAACCGACCACAGCACCAATCACTCCCGCAACTGCGGGTCGCAAAGACCGTGGGCCCGCGCGGCCATTATTTCTAGAGTCCGGAGCGTAGGCGGGGCAGAATACGCTAGTGTCGCCGCCACAGGTAAGGCACCATTCCGAGACAGACATCATGATATTCACCATTTCATCCTTGAATTCTTGATATGGCATGCCGGGTTGCTCGGGACCACGGCCGAAGAGAGGGTACGATACCAACGGTGTGGAGGCGTCAGATGCATCCGTTCCGTTGCGGAGAAAGAAGCGGACCATTAGATCAGTTGAAAGAGGGTATTCATCGGCGGAGGAGTTGGATTCCATGCTGAAAAGCTCAAAGACGATCGAAGCTCCCGGGTTGGGAAGGCCGTAAAAGTTTCTCTGGCGGTCAGACGCCAATTTGGACAGGAACGCAAAGGCCACCATGGGTTCAAAACTGCCGAAGAGTAACGACAGCTTGCCCTCAGCACCGCCTGTGCGGTAATTCGTCTCAAAGGCACTGACGACGAACCTCGCTAGCGTTTGACCGGCCACAGAAAGGATCTTGTGATCCTCAGTACCGTCACTTCCGCCTGCCTCAGTGTTGCCATTTGCTACGGACACCCATTTATCTGCAAGATAGCGTGCATTGTTGACGTCGTCTAGCGAAATTACGCTCTGGGCAGTCGAGTTGTGAATATGTTGATAGTTGAGATATTCATAAATCGGGAATGCAGTGAGAAAACTGACGTCCTCCCTTGCAAACACGCCCTGCAGAGCACGGGAATAGACATCAGAATAGAACGCGGAACTTTGTGCATCCATCGAGCGGGCCTCGTCGCTGGTTAGCCACTGCAAAAGCACAGCACCGTAAGCTACGCAGTTGACCTGGCCAGCAATGTAAACACTACTCGGGTCCCTAAAGCCTAGTGTGAGGATTTGCGGATACTGATATCCATTGAGTGGGAAGTCCACGGCGGTCCCATTCACCATGTCTGCTAGGTCCCGACTTGTGGTGTTACCGGACGAGTTTGGCACCGGCGGATAGAATCCTTGCATGAACGCCTCAGCTGAAGCAACCGCGGCCGGCTCTGTTCTTGCGAGGACAGTGATTTCACCCGGCACCAGCATATGGAGTGATAAACCTCCAATCCTCGTCTCGACGTTGTCCAGATAACGACCTCGGAAGGTTGATCCCACCTCTACCAATTGCTGGGCGCCCAATGGAGTTAATGTTATGGGGTAAGGCAGTGCATGAGGACTGTGTTCGCCATAGAATGTGTAGACCACGGAACTCCAGATTTTCTCCTGGAGAGCTAGGGAAAGGGGAACGAGATAGACGGAGAGTGCGATGTAAGGTGAAATGAGCCGCATGATGATTGCAAAGTCCTCTCTATCACTTCACATAGGCTATATTCCACACTAAGCCGGCAGCGTCTTTTGACAAGGACAAAGATTCGACAGAGGTCAAGATCCTAATTATTGCTTGGTGAGCGCGAAAGGTCTGGACCAGAGCGACAGTCAATTATGGTTTCGACGATGTCATATATAACCTTACCTACCCGATAACATGAAAGTATGACGAGGCTGAGCGAACCAAAAGGGAATCGGGATAACGGAAGCTATATTTGTATGTACCAAATATACTCTGGGGGATCATCACACCTGGATGCAAGTTGAGCATTGAGGGGTGGCTCCATCAACCTTGCCATGCAACCAACGTCGATGGGCTGCATTTCGCCAAGCCCTGACGGCATTGTAATTTGTCGGTATACAAAGTCTCCAACTTGATTTTTCTTTCCACGTAGCAGGGAGTTGTCATCAGAGAATTGGCTTTGGAAATAGGTTCCAAAGTTTCCGGAGTTCCAGGTTGACAGGTGAAAGGTTATATAATAAATTAGTTATGTAGTTCCGTCAGTGAAGACCAGGGAGTCAGGTGAAGTGGTAGTTACTATAATAAGATCCGACATAGTAAGCCCATAATATTAATTCGGCCTTGTCTATTCAATATTACGCTGCGTATAGACCAGTCAAATCCACAAACCAACATTAAAGTGCGTGTGTAGTTCGGGGATACTCTGTTTTTCTAGGCGGATGTTGGCAAGGCGGATTCGATTGCCAGAATTGAATCTCAAAATGCACTGGCTCTATAATGTTATTGATGATGCTGGTGAGATGGTAACAGCCAGTTCGCTGTCACTGTAAGCTGTTAGGGAGTGGAAGTTGATGTCGCCTCGAGGGCTGGTTTGAACGACTTCCGCATTCAGACGCAATATAGGGCAATGTGCTAGAAAGCCCTAAGTGGCGGAACGAAATGACTATTCCTATTCTGAACTAGCCTTGCTAACATAACCAGGCAAGTCTCCATACTACTCGATTGCTGGACAATGGAGAACTCTTCAGCTTCAATTGCGTGAATTCCGATAATTCAACTGTTTCAAACATAATAAAGGAGTTGCCAGTCCTAGCAGCATGCAGTGTTGAAGATTAATCCGTGCTGTGATGCTCCTCTGAGGCCGTTTCCGTTGCTCGCTGCTCCTACGTCAAGGAAAATTTTCTGCCACAAGAGCCCCCAAGCCCTACTTTTGCGCCCTATCCCTAAACCCTCATTTCTTCTCCTGGAAGTCCTCCTGGACGATCGTGCATACACGCCACGCCGCCCGCCGCGCCTATCATGGTCAACCCTCCAGCTTCAGACAACCCAGCCGACGCTATCCCAGAGGATGCTCAGCAACAGTCCTCTATCTCTGCTCCTGTAGACAACAATGGTGGGTTTCTAATTCGATCTCGATCTCTTCTTTGGACTCTCCCCCTGTTTTCTTTTTTTTCTCCCCCTTCTTATCTCTCTGCATCTTTGTCTTGCTGTCCAGGGTCGCCAGCTCCAGGCTCATGAAGCTACTATAGCTTGTTGGTTGTTTATTATAAAGTACTGTGAATGAATATCTGTGTTCTAACCATTCTTCTCGCTTTTATAGGATCCTCAAAGGTAATACACGGACTGGAAGAGAGCGATGAATCCAACAACGCCTCTGCCCATGTCGCAAAGAAACGGCGGACGGGCTCTGACGGCGAGACGGGTCCGGAACCATCTAGTATGACGGAGCAGCCGCTGCCAAAAGAAAATGTGGGGCAGGGAGTCAAAAATTCTGCAGAGCAGTCCGCGGGACCCCCCATTTCGCCTGCCGCCAAAGTTGAACCCAACGGGAGCCCCGACGTCCTTGAGGAAAAGAAAGCAAACGGTCATTCCACTGCAATTCAAGGAGCTGCTACTTCTGCATTTGCGCAGGACCAACTGGGACCAGACGTTGCTGAGGTCATTTCAAATATCATGAGTTATTCAGAGCGAGTGGAGGAACAGTACAACCTCAGTCAGCAGCTTAAGAACTCAGGTGGAGGGTCGCAGCCTTTAGTGTTCGTCAAGGCCAACTCGCAGCTAATGATCCAGAGCTTGCCGATATTAGACAACTTGGTATGTCGCTACTAATGGGTTGCCAGTTTTGAAGTTCTACATGTTAATTAAATTTCCAGTCTACCCAAATTCTTACTTTGCTTGCCCAATCGTCCTACCAAGACCTAACATCAATTGTGTCCGAACCCACCTCCGAGAGCGGACAAGCCTACTCAACTATGAGGTCTCTATTCGACCATACAAAAAATGTATATACGTCCAAAGGATCTTTTCTATCGCCACGCGAGCTTGATCTCACCGAACCAAACCAGGTGGATATCATCAGGAAGGCCAATATGGCATCGTTTGTCTCAAGCATTTTCGGTAGCCAGGAGATTGGCTTTTCTGAACTCGACCAATACTTCCTGGAAATATTTGTGCCCGAGGGAAATCGATTGCTGAAAGTACAAGGTGCACTGTTCCTGGAGCTCAAAACTCAGGCGTACATCGCAGCGATGAGCTCTGGGAAACGCTCACGAACCGAACTTTTGTACGAATTGTTCCCCGATGATCTCGAAGAACGATTACTTTCCCGAAGGCCAGGTACAAAACAACTCGCACCAAGTGAGACAGACTTCGTAAAACGTGCTTACTCACGACGCGACATCCTCCTCAACGAAGTGAACAACCCAGAGGCTGCTGCGGCATTACCGGAAAAGTATCGCTGGGAGGATTTCTTAAGGGATCTAAGCTCATACGTGAGCAAAAATTTCGAGGCTATTAGTCATCAGCAGGTATGGCATCATATAACTTCCATCCCTCATTCTATGTATGGGAAGGTTTAACTGACGTATACTGTTCTACAGACCAAAAAATCGAGTAAAGGCCGGTTATCAACGAATGGTGAGGTGCAAGAATCTCGCAGCGCCCCCCTCGAAGGGCAATTTTCTGTCGTCCCCAACCCACCTGAAGCCGCCCAGGTTTCCCGTAGTGCCGCCCATAGCGACCTCGTCGCAAGAGCCGCCCGCGCTGCTCAAATCGCCCTTCAAGGTCAGGGCAGAGGGGCGCGAAACGCTGCTAAGGCCGCCCAGCAGGGCCGACAAGCTCAATCAACAGCAGCCCAGGCTGTATCTCAACCACCACCGCCGCCACCGCCACCGCCACCGCAACAGCAACAGCAGCAAGTACCTCGAGTTCAACAACAGCCACAGTATCTTGCACCCCAGGTACCGCAACAGCAGTTACAGCAACACCAACAAGTACCTAGTCACCAACAACAACCGCCCAAACAATTACAGTTTGTCCAACCTCCACAGCAGGCGCCTGCCCGTCCTGCGCATGGGCTTCCCCAAAGTCCCAATCGGCCAGCTTCTCAGCACATGTATCATCAAGCCATTATGACAACGACATTCCCTGCACACCCGACACATCCAGCACAGGTGCCACCAGCGCAACCGGCCCAGATCACATTCCACCAAACCCCGCTCCATTTTCAACAATATAACCCCGCCGCCGCACATGCGTCAGTCACGGCAAGGGCACATGCAGCTGCCGCCAATTATGGTTACATGCCAGGAGTTCCCCATTATTCTCAGTCCCAGCCGACACAGATCCTCTACGAACGAGCCAGGATGGCGACGACAGCAAAGTCCTCACCCACGAACCGTCGTGCTGGACTTCCAAGCCAACGTCGCCCCTGGACAACGGAGGAGGAAAATGCATTAATGGCCGGCCTGGACAGGGTCAAGGGGCCCCACTGGAGCCAGATATTAGCGATGTTCGGACCTGGTGGCACGATTAACGAAACCCTCAAGGATCGCAACCAAGTACAACTTAAAGACAAAGCACGAAACCTCAAGTTATTCTTCCTCAAAAGCGGCATCGAGGTACCTTACTATCTCAAATTTGTTACTGGTGAACTGAAAACTCGCGCTCCAGCACAGGCTGCCAAGCACGAAGCGCGAGAGCGACAGCGTAGAATGGGTGATGAAGATAAAGCGCATGTAGAAGGCATTGAAGGGATGATGGCACTTGCTGGCGCTCACGCGGGATCAAATATGCCCCCTGAGTCTGCTCATAGTAGCATGGCTGGCTCCCCTGGGCTGATGCACCAGCAAAATCAGCCACAGCCACAGCCACAACAACAGCAGCAGCAGCAGCAACAGCAACAGCAACAGCAACAGCAACAGCAACAGCAACAGCAACAGCAACAGCAACAGCAACAGCAACAGCAACAGCAACAGCAGCAGCAGCAGCAGCAGCAGCAGCAGCAGGAACACCTGGAAGTGCAACATGCGCAGGAACAAAGCATGGAGCAGACGTTGATCCAAAGCCTAGCGCAGGACGCAAAGCATGACGGAATGCATCTTGAGCAGCAACCACAGAATATGCAACAAAATATGCCACAGAGCATGGTTGACCCGTCCCTTCAAAACCAGCAATGAAGAACTAGTTTTCATGGTACATGGGGTAAAAAACAAACTGGTATTACTCTAGTCTGGTTTTTTCTTACTCGTCTGGTTACACTGGGTGGGATATTTCTATTTTGGTTGGAGTGGCCGGAATATTATATTTTCTTTCTGCATTTGTATTCACGGAAGGTTGTTACCAGATGGTCAAACACTAAAAGGATTGTTAAACGGTTGTCGAAGGGCTGGTATTTGTTTTCTAGGCGCGACGAGAGTTTTTGCTGCTAACAGATATATTCGTTTTGCACCTGAGGATGATGTTTTAACTATTTTAACTATTTTTTTAATTTTTTTTTATTGCTTTGCTGGCTGTAAGTTAGAAGCGCCGAAACGAAAAGAAAACAAAAAATTTGTCTAAAGTGAGAAGTGGAAACAGAATACCAATTCCTCATCTAGAGATTTCACAATATTTTATCTTTTCCCTATAAATAAAGTAGCAGTTGCAAGGAGCTCATTCTGTAGTGTAGAGTTGCAAGTTGCGCAAGTAGTTAGTTAACATCCTCAACTTCTTCGCTTCTTCAACAAGTTAACTAAGTTACTAGTTAATCAACTATCAGCCACACCATCTGCACCTCCTCGTCATCCCATCCAGTCCAAATCGATCGCCTACGTAGTACAGCCAACCAACGCCAAACACCTCGCGCCCTAAATAACCTCGATCCGTGACACCAAACCAAGAAACAAAGAAACGCCGCAGCCAGTCATGGCCGACTCCCAGCTGCCTCCGTCAGACACTGTGCCACAACCACAACCACAACCACAACCACAACCACGAGTAGCAGCACAATCAACACCATCAACCGCCGCCTCTGCTACTCCTACACCAACCACCGCAGCAAACCCTGAGTCCTCAAACCCTTCAGATCCCAATAACAATCCGTCGGCTTCGGCTATCCCCGCAAACAATAATGACGCTGCCAACCCGGATACCAACCCTGATACCGAAATGAGCAATAGTAATAAGAATAATACTAATACTAATACCAACACCAATAACAGCAGCCCCTCCATGGCAACGAATCCGGATATCACGATGAGCGGGACAAGTGAAGCTACAACGGCGCCTACTACAGCTACCAGCCAGCAGTCTATGTCCACGGCTGCGACGACGATGACGACAGCACCAGCACCAGCACCAGTACTGGGCACTGGCACAAGCACGACCGCAGCACCGGGAGGAATCATTGCACCGGGAATCCCAATAGATGCTGCAGTGAACCCTGTGGCAGCTGCGCCAGTGCTGCCGCCGTCGAAGAAAGATACGAGCCTACGGGAGTTTCTGGGACAGATGGATGAATATGCGCCTATTGTGAGATTCCTATTGCTTCCTGTTCCCCTTCTCATCTTCTCCTGCCAGCTTCCAACTTGTTTTGTTACAAACCTGTTGCCATTTGGAACGTTTATCCTCATGGAAAAAGATAAAATATATATCCCCTCGCTTGCCCTGCGAAATAAAATAATAGTAATAAAGAAAGACTATATATCTCACCCCATCATGCCTATAATTCCTCTTCAACTAACAAAACCAAAACCCCATAGATCCCCGACGCCGTAACAGCACACTACCTCACCCTCGCCGGTCTCCCGCCGCCAGGCAACGGCCCAAACCAAACCCCACCACACCTCGCCCGCCTCCTCGCTCTCGCCACACAGAAATTCGTCGCCGACATCGCCGCAGATGCCTACCAATACTCCCGCATCCGCAGCTCCAATACTTCCTCCTCAAATAATCCCATGGGCGCCATAAACCTCTCGACAGGCTTGGCGCACGGGGTAGCTGGCGCTGGCGGAGGTGTAGGCGGCGGTGCTGCGGGGGTAGGGGCGGGTGGAGGGACGGCTGCAGCCGGTGGCGGTGGGAATGAAGGGGTAAAGGGGAAAGGGAGCAGTGCGACTGGATTGCATCTGGGTGTTCAGAGGCCTGGGTTTGGAGGTGGGGGGCAGGGGGGACAGCAGGGGCGGACTGTGTTGACGATGGAGGATTTGGGAATGGCGGTTGCGGAGTATGGGGTTAGTGTGAAGAGGGGGGAGTTCTATCGGTGATGGTTTTGGGTTTTTGATGGGAGGTGGTTTTACTTTTAGTGGGATTCCTCATTTTTTCTTGTTTTTGCCTTTCCCCTTTTGTTTTCAATATCCCAGGTTGCTGACTGGGGGATTGCTTCGGGAGGTGCAGATATTATATTATTACTTTATATATCAAGTCCACAAATCTGGGATGGCGTTTGGGATGCGGTTCAGGCTGGGAAGAAAATGGCGGGGTTTACTTTTAAATCATACATTATCATGTTATATCATGGCCATGTCACCTCATATCATGCATGTTTCAGTTTAGTTATGAAGTTCAAATGATATATGTCGATAGACTATGCTGAATATTAGCGACAGGGTATAAGAAAAGCACTGGGCCATGGGCACCTGTTGTTTCGCATTGGGGGGTAAGGGTAAAGGAGTATGATAGCAACGAAAAGTTTATTGGACTTCTAATATACAATAAAATATATATACATATACAAAGCAGGAACAAGTAAAGAAGAACCTTTTGATTTTTCTCCCAAAATCAATCCTGGACGCCCGCTCTAAATTTTTGTAGGAAATAGAAAAAACTTTACCGGGCTACACGATCTGAAGCCCCCCCTACACCTCCCTGGGGCCGTTTGCAAACATCTCTCCTCGCCCGGTCAGCGGCGATGATGAGGTTTCAATACTGCTCACAAGAGATCAGGCGGGGCTCGATATCGCCGCGACATCTCATTCCTGCCCCTCTATCCAACCTTCCGCCGCTCCATTTCCATGGTAGATAGGTCGATTGTTGTTGTTGCTGTTGTTATTGCGTGGGAAACAGCACACGGCACACCGGGAACATTAAAGGATGTGTTATCTATCCCTCGTCGAAGAAATTGCTCAACATCCATTCCTTCCGCTCCAAACACGAAAATCCCACGACGAGACCAGCAACAGTAGCAATATCCAAACCGCTACGACTTCAGCGCCCATGTGGACCATACTACCAGCCACACATCCCCCGTTCCTAGGTATATATATACTTAATTCTTGGAATGCTCATATCTGAACCGCTTCCGTGTCCTAACGCCAAACCACGAGGAGTTAGTAAGCCAAACCAAAAAAAAAAAAAAAAAAAAAAAAAAAAAAAAAAAAAAAAAAAAAAAAAAAAAAAAAAAGGCGAAAAGAAAGCAAAAAACAACATACTGCGAAAACTCCCCCAACTTCCTCCCCACCATCTCATCGGTAATATACACCTCATTGTACACCTTGCCATTATGCACCGCAAACTTCAAGCCGACGAAATTGGGCAGGATCGTCGCAGAGCGCGCTTGGGTCTTTATCGCGGGTGTGCCGGGCGGTGGAGGCATGGTCTTTGGTAGCGGGAGACTGTTTTGTAGTAGGAGCTTTTGTTTAGCATTGATTCAGGGCTTTTTTCCTGTTTTTCTTTTCTTTTTCTTTCTTTTTCTTTTACCCCCCTTTTCAGGAGATATTGATCGATTGGGGGGATTTTCGATGACTGTAGGGAAATAGCCCTCTATCTCCTCCGAATCGCAAAGCTATATAATAAAGGAAATATAATAAAAAAGAATTGAAGAAACGTACGGGACAATATTCGGGCCTAGTCACACGGGGGTTGCCGGTGGTTAGAAAAGCGCAGGATCAATGGGGTTGTAGTTAAAAAAAAAGGGGGGAGCTTCTCGAACTTACCCTTCCATACCGATCGCTTCAATAATGCGCGTGTAGGGAACATCTCGAATCAGTCTCGTCTTTGCTGACTGCCTGGTATCCTGCCCGTGTATGTCGTATACCGCTTGCTTCATTCCGCCTTTTGTCACTGGAGAATCCGCCGGGGTCGCAAATAATATTTATCCGATCCCATTATCATCGAGCTTCAGCATTTTGCCGCTTAGCCTAATGCGGCATGACATCCGATCTTCAATAATAATACTGTTGAGGGTCCTGGGTTGATCGGCCCTTCTACCAGCAGTGCGCTGGTGGTGACTGAGCTCTTTTGCCCCAGTAGCCTACAAATACTTGTACAGAGTAAACTCGTACATGTACATGTATATGCTGTACCATCTTGCCCAGATGTCTAGTTACTAGTCGGTCTACAATACACAATATATGGCTTCACTGTAGCAGGATGGTCCTTGTGTCCCTTGAGCCGATGAAGAAATTGTTTCATGTAACTATGGTTTTATTTTATTTTGTTTTCCGTTAGTTGTGAGAATAACCAGAATCTAACCGCCCTCAGAGCGGTGAGGTGTTCGCATGCTCGTTTTCATTATCTCATTATAATCACTAGGAAATATCAACGCTCTATGCAAGTTTTGGGCTTAGGGAATTAGGATATCGAGAGGGATAAGAGAGTGTTGCTTGTAGGTTGAGGAACGCGGTTTCAAGCAATGAAAAGGGTGAGAAATTTGCCCGCCTTGCCATGCCATAAAATAGCGGATGGAATATCAGTTCGTATTCGTTTTATTCAATTGCACGTTCATATCTTTCTTCCTTTTTCTTTCTTTCCTTTTCCATTTTCCTTCTAGGTGCGCCACAAGTCACAATTGAAATCCACGGCTGTGACCAGCTTTTTTTCTTTTTCTTTTTAGGCTTCCGCAAGCTCATCCATCATACGCACTAAGCTTCGAATCCCCAGCAGTGCATTTTCATCCGGTCCCTGCCCAGGCGTCCATGTTGCATGGGCAAAATCGATGAAGCGGATATCCTGGACTTTGTGCGGTATTTCATCTGCGTCTTCGTCGTCTTCTTCTTCTCCTACTCCGTCGATGTCAAAATCAATTTCCCCGAGGTTGTTAGGGTTGATCTCGAGCTTAATGCCGCCTGGTGTGATTGATTCCCCATCCACCTTCATATCGACGATCTGCAAGGTTGAGGAGCCCCCAGGAATCTCTATCTCGTATTCAGCCTCCGATTCCGATCCGTCGTCTAATTTATTACCATTATTTCCTTGAGTTTCGGCGTTACCTTCCCTGACGAGAGCTTCCTCCAACGCTTCTGGATCCCCTTCGTAGACAATCAGGACGCTGGAGGAGTACATTCTGCTCTCCTCCGCCTCAAGAACTGCCTGCATAGCGCGTAACCTTTCCGCTATTCTCTTGGCGATCAATTTCGACCTATCGATTTTACCCTCCTTGGCGCCATCGAGGAATGTCTCGAAGCCTTCCTTAACGTTGTCCACGTTGAATGAGCGACCATACCACTTGTCATACCGCCTGTACCCATCCACGGTCTCGACAACGATTTGTTTCGATTTAATGGTGTCATGTGATTTCGTTTGCGTAGTTCCGAGAACCTTTTCCTCTTTTTCCGCATTCTCACCAACCCATATCTTCATCCCGGCGATGCGGAATCCTAACACAGAACTCGTAGTTTCTAAAGATACCTGCTCCAACCTAGCCCTTTTAGCAGGAGCAGCATCGTCCGCCCAGAGTCTGGCGCCAAGCTTTACGTCCAAGACGTTTGGTCGCTTAAAACCTGCCGTCACATTCTCAAGCACTATCGATACGCTGCTGGTGATCTTCTGTCCCTGGGACGGAAACCATTCGGCGGGCTCTTTATGCGAGGCGACGGCAACTGGCACGGTAACAAGATCGGGCTTTCTACCAAGCTCCGGAGTCAGAGGTGAATCCGTGCCGGAGGATGAAGTCGCAGACGGGTCCACAGCGGCAGTAACTAAAGAGGTCCTGCTTTCGCTTGTTGGGATTTCAAGGACATTTGCGGGCGTAGGGTTGGATAGAGTGCCAATGAACTGGGGCATAAATTGCTGGAAGCTAGGGTGGTGGAGACTAGACTCGTAGAATTCAATTTCTTGGAGAGTACATGGTTTTGCGATTAGTGAACCGGAGGGATTGCAGAGCACGCCATCACTGCGAAAGAGAGACAGTTCTAGTCAGCTACTGAGCTTCTTGATACACATATATATATAGATACATATATAGTCATTGACGGATAGGAACTTACTGTCCAGCAGCGGCGTGACCAAATGCAACAAAAGTGTCCTCCTCGAGTTTCTGGGCCTTGCGATTCTCCGGAGCCGAAGCGGAGGGCATGATAAGACACAGTAACCAATCTGACACTAGCAGAACAAGGGTGTTGGGAGCTCAAACAGGACACAGAATGAGAAGGCTATCAACGCATTATGATAGCGGACAACAAAGGGGGAATCAACAGCGAGTATAGCGGGGGGAGAGTTGACAAAGGAGAGAAGGATAACTATTGCAAGCTTTCAAAAACAAATAAGGAGCGGAAGAGGTTTAAGGAGGAGATGGCTCAGCCGTAGAAGCAGAGGAGAGAAGAGGACAGGAAAGGAGAGGATGGAGAGTTGGGCAGATGGATGCATCGCTGATGGCAATCATTAATTGGAATCAACCGGTGAAGCCGAAAGAAGTAAGAAGTCGCTCCAAGCTTGTGACGCATCGGTCGGTATTGCCAGGTATTGTTTCGTAACTGCCGAGCCTGGAAACAAGCACGCTGTAATTTATCCGGGTATTTCACCGTATTAACTAATTAGTTACATGGGCGCTGCTGCTTGTGGGAATTGATAGAGACCAGAGAGCCAAAATAGCTATCCATTCATCATCTATCTATCTTCTACTGTATTTCCAACCGGACAGATCAAATGTTGTTTCCAGGACTGAAGTGTCTAGCTTCTTCGTCCTATTGGCTATTTGAGGTAGAAAAGTGTTACTCAATTCACTTGTGACAATATGGTATGCATCGGGTATCTGCTGCTGTAACTATGATTTCAGTTGCTGCTACTAACTAGTTACAACTGCTGCTGGTGGTGTGCTAATTCCCAGACGCATGAATACGTTGTTTTCTATTTAAGTATTTCTGGAAATGAAGCCTATTTTATTTCCTATCTATATTCCGTTTTCATATTCACTACTGTGCCAAACTATGGAAACCATGGGGGGAAGCATCGAGGTTGGAGATCTATCCATTTACATGGCAGCCTTGTATAACTTCTGGTTGAAGGCAGCCCTGCATCTACCCTATTCAAATTATATTTCATTAACACTAAGGAAGTGATACTTTACAAAGTACATGTACATGTACATACACTTGAGTGCATTTACTTGCATTCAGCATGCTTGATAAGCTCTCCCGTTGCTTTCTTCACCAACCCCCAAGCTTCCTCGTCACATTCGTCTGACAATCTCCAACAACCTGGTCTACCAGGTCTAACTCAACCATTCTCCTCTATCTGCAGCTATTCTTGTAGCTATATATCATTTGCTCTACGTTAAAACTACGTCAAGCGTGTCTCGTGCAATGGAGACTAAGCCAATCGCACCTCTGCCTGTCCGGGACAAACAAACTCAAGGGAGTTCAGATTGCCAACAGGATATTGAAGCTAGGGGCCCGACAAATACCCAGACTGCTCGTCCCAACGGTGACAATAATGGCGCTCTAGAGGGAGATGTGGGTGTTGCTACGAAAAATGGTGAAGAGGAACCCGATACGCTTGAGGGAACAGCTGAGGTCACGGTTGCAAAGAAAAAGAAGAAGAGGAACAAGAAGTCAAGGGGGAAAAATAAGGCGAGCATCACCCTCTTGTCCTTAATGTGACTCTTCAATGAGTAATAATAACATGTCGTCTGATTTTTATGGTGGATTTAGGGATCAGGATTCGAAGAATATGTTGCCGACGGCCCTATCACTGTTGCTGAATATGAAGAAAACAAAAATCGCTACGATAGGTGAGCATGACTTCTAAATCACAGGGAGACACGCGTTCTCATGAGCTGACTTGAATGTCTTGTTTTTTTTTTATCAGATCCCTACCTGCCAAACAGTAAGCTACTGAATGTCGATGTTGGGTTACGCTGCTTGTTCATGCTAACTCTCTCACAGGCGCCTTGAGACAGCGATACAGCGGTTCCAAGCAAAAAGGAGCATGGATTCAGATCGCAGGAGCGTATTCACAAAGTACATGTCTTACGGAGGCGTAGACGTAGGGCCGAAAATGTTTGAAGGCAACGACCAACGCGATCTCATGGACAAAGATGCTGAGGACATTCTGACTGCCACAGCGCAAGCCTCAGTCCCGGAAAACCGTGTTGGCTGGGCTGTGGATTTCGAAGCTGTTGCAAAAGGGTTCCTGTACGTTTAAGTCCAGATTTGCCAATTCCAACCTTCCATTTCATGCAATACCTCCTGACGTGCTCTCTCCAACAGGTCATCCGTCCTCCCTCTATATATTGGACTAGAAACCGAAGCACTCGTCGATATGGCCACCGGGACAATCAGAAACTTTCTAAATTACATTCTACTACATGATGTCTGCCCGGAGTATACCGAGAATATCCTGGCCGCACGTGCGGTCTGCGACACTGCAAAGGTGGAACTCTGGAAAGCCCAACAAACGAACTGCTGGGCCCCGGGACACTTTAATATGGCCTGTTCAACCTTGTTTGGGGGGTACTTCTACGGTTTCTACACCGGAGGCCAGGAATGGAGCAACGAAGTTGGTGCAGAGGGCATGGAAGACAGTGTTGCGCGTAAAGTAGTGAAATTTGCCCTTGCGGGTGCGGGAAGCTACGAGCAGGCTGTTCGTTTCCGTGACCTGGCTAATTTCAATGAGCTAAAGGCTACCTGTGTGGATGAGAATGGGTTTGAAGTTACCGCCATCGCGCCTGTGGACGGTAATGTGCGGGATTTCTACAAGCAGCATGCTCCGGATCTCCAGCCTATTGGCAAACTTCGAGCGAAACCGTGGCGCAATCCTGGCTTATCGGAGGAGGATTTACCCCCCGGCCAAGTTTGTGGGACAGAGCCTTCTTCTCCTTCGGTGGCGGATGAGTACGAGTTCTTCGTAGATGAGAGCATGCTGCAGTTCTGTTTTGTGGGGATGAAGGTTGACACCACTGTATGGGAATTGAATTGTGGCTTGCACTACTTCGATAATGTGATGGCCGTTTACTGCTCCTTTTACACCATCTTGCTGAATGAGAGTATGATTGGGTGGAAGGAACCGAGGGATCTTCGTGGTGATGATGAAGTATGGTATAATCCAGGCGCTGCAAAAGGAGAGGATGATGGTGCAGCTGGAGCTTCGGAGGAGGTTGACGGGGATGATTAAGGAATGCAACCAAAAGGGCGCCGGAGGTTAGAGGTAAATGATGTCCAAAATCACAAAATTAGAAAGGAAAGACGAAAGAGAATCATATCGCGTTGGTGAACAATCGAACTATTCGTACTTCATAGATCTTTTATCATTCTCCAACTATAAAATTAGTCGTAGCTCAGTGAGAGTGTTCATTGTTCGCCCATAAAGACAAGAACGACTATTCAGCGTTTTCCATCTGCAAACATTTCATCTCCCGTCAGAAGACACAGACATACCATCGGAGAGCGCAGTGTAATCCGTAGCCCAGTGTTGCTTTCACGGCTTGAGGAGGAGCTTCCCAGTAGTCTTTCGACCCTCGAGGTCCTATCATCAAAACTATCAGTCAAAAAGATCTTCGTAAAAGTATAGCAAGTAACCAAGTTAGCAAAGAACGGCCTTTACGAGACTTACAATGTGAGCCTGCGCAACTTCTTCCAGTGGATAAACCTTGTGGATCCTAACTTTCAGTTGACCGGACTTCAGCAGACCAAATAGTTCTTCCGTATAGTGGTCAAATTCAGCCTGCGTGTAGATGTATGGGAAAACAGTTGGACGGAGAACTTTGATATTCTTCGACGCCAGCAGCCTAAATATATATCGTCTTTCAGCATGCAACATACACACACGCACACAACCAGACGAAGAAAAAGAGGCGATAGTAAAACGGGAGAACACTCACTGGATCTGCAACGGCGGTACGGGCCCGCTGGCATTCCCAAAATAAACCACCGTCCCTTTTCTCTTCGCAACCTTCAAACTTCCCTCCCACGTATCCTTCCCCACGGAATCGAACACGGCATCCACACCCTCCCCTCCCGTCACCTCCATCACCTTCTCCGTCCAATTCGCTCCCTGCGCACTCCTATAATCAATAACCACATCTGCTCCAAGCCCCTCCACCAGCTCCACCTTCTCCGGACCCCCAGCCGTCGCAATTACTTTCGCCCCAGCCAACTTGACCAATTGCGTCATAAGGAAACCCGCCCCGCCCGCCGCCGCATGGATCAAAATCCAATCCCCCCTCTTGACCGGATACGCCTCTTTCACAAACGTGAGGGTGGTAAGCCCACTTAGGAACCCCGCGAGGATAACCTCATCCGATAAACCCTCCGGTACGCGCGCAATGGTCGCCTCAGTTGGGACGGCCGTGTACTCCGCATAGCCGCAATTTTTCATCCAGACCACGCGCTCGCCCACGGCAAAATTCTTCGGGTTAGGGCCCGGGCCGACGGCGACAATGGTGCCGACGCCCTCACGGCCTAGGATCTCTGGTTTCGGGGCTTTGTAGAGCCCTGTGCGGAAGTAGGTGTCGATGAAGTTTAGGCCTGAGAGGTTGTTTTTGATCAGCACCTCGCCTTCCTTCGGGGTGGGGACGGGGAGGTCGGTTTTGTATTCGAGAACTTCGGGCCCGCCGATTTTGGACACTAGGACGCCCTTTTGGGTTGTTGGGATGGACGGTGCTGTGGTAGCCATGGTGCGGATGTGATACTGGGATATCAATGGCGTGTGTTGCTGAGGAGGGCGGGTGCGGGGTTGGAGTTGTTGGCCAAGTACGGAACCCGCGACGGCTTGAAAATTGCGGGATGGGTTCAATTGTGTTTTTAATGCAGAGAGTCGGGCAACAGTCGGCACGCTTCGCATCATTTGGATGACTACTGCGTTAGTAAATAAATTAAGGTATTATTTTCTGTTTCAGTTTCTGTAACTGACGTAAAGGCGATATTTATACTTTTATGAGCAACTTTCCAAGACTTTTCACACTTTTCCTGCGCAGGCTCAATTGACTACAAACCCACACAAGATATTCTGCTAACTACCAATCCATTCGCCAGAAAAGAAAATGAATACCAACTTAGGCTCCCCTTCGTCTCTCGCGTTGAATTTGTAAACACGCAGAATTAACTACGACGCCCTTGCGGAGATCACTGCCGGCAGCCGGCTAACGGTGGAGGGTGCCAAGAGTGGATAGCCGACTTAGTCATCTGCCGATGTCACACCTCAAAGGCTGAACTTGCTTCAATCGCTTTACACACAACTATCCAGAGGGTTATGATGTTATGACTGCAGTGGAATAGTCTATTGGCCAGTAACTGACGACTGTCTCCTTTTCACCACTGAGCAACTCCTCAGTACAGAATGTGTGTTTATTGCTGACTGGGAACACATTTAGACCCCTCTCCAGAGCGACGAACAGCAAGTTTTGCTCACGCTTTTCTATTTTTCCCTAGGCGGATACTTTCATGGCTTACATCCCCAGTCTTAGTTTCAGGAGGTGATTCGAGGTTGAAGGGATTCAACCTGATCCGGACTGAATAACCTGGTTTTTGTTAGGGCCTACTTTTTGTGGCCCCTTTCCTCCATTTCCCCATCCTGATGACGCGGATGTTGGTTCCTTGGATATTATACACACGTCCAGTTAATTTCAAACGTTTCCAGATATTACTATTCTCAGCGAACCCGACTCGAGAGGTTTGATGTTTCATCGATCAAGTCTTCCTAAGCTTCCTAATCGGAAACTTTTCTTCCATTCTGTCCGGCCTATCCATTTCCAAGATTGACTATGTGCGTACGTTGCATGACGCCTTATTGTTTGCGCAACTACCAGTTGTATAGTTGTATAGTTTCCCTGCCGCTATTGAAAGGCATGAGACTCTTCAAAAACTTGCAACGCGGCAGGGGATAAAATCTGTTCTCCCTTATTCTTTGTTCCCATTTTTGAAAATCGAAACGCGGTTGTACTATTATCAGCGTGGTATCTCAAATCTATATCTGATGCGGGACCCTTTAAATGGATAATTGCGTGTTTCCCCTCTCTGGTTCCACGTCTGGTTCCGAAAAGATTGTCGTGTGTGAGACGGATATCAAATATCCTTCCACCTGAATCAAATGTGTTTGCCCAGAGGGATGGATGGGATGGATGCCAGCGGTGCATTTAACACACCTTCTGATTGAAGAGATATGGCGGTGATTTCCAAACACGCAGACACAAAATGCCATGCGCTAGAAAATCCGCCTCACTCCTCTTTCATTCTTTCCATTGTGCATTGTATAAGACAATCTAATTGTCGGGTTTATTGGTTCGCCGGATTAATATGATCAATTCTTCCCCGTCTCCCGCCTCCCCCCTCCCCGGCCCGTATCCGATTCCGGAGTCCAGTAATGTTCTCCAGAAAATAGAAATCCGTGACACAGCAGTTTCGAACAGCACCATACTTTCTTCTACCAATCTACATCCAACTAGCCCTTATCTATGAAATATCGTCTCATCTGTGGGGACCTTGCTATCCATTCGAGAGTAGGGCAATGAAAAGCGCCAAACTGTGTCTTCCTCTGGAAGTGCGTTGATAATACATCGATCATTGATGGTGGATAATGCTCACTCCCACGCTTCTGAAATTGGGTAAGGAATATGTGATTTTCTTCTGCGCGCCCTGTAGTGTTCGTTTCTTTCTACTATCCGTGTTCGGCTGCTCGATTTCTCCTATCCATCAGCCGGCCGGTTGCAAAATTCCCAAAACACCATGTAGATCTGTTTGCTATTCCCCCCCACCACACCCACCCCCCCCCCAGTTTTAAAAAAGTGCTTTGTATTAGAGATATAACTAGAAAGGAATCGAAGAATTACTTTTTATTTGATTCTAATCATGACC